GCGCTGGCCGCAGCGCACCAGCCACAGTGGCCATTGGAGGGTGAACCAACAGCAAAAGAAGACCTTTCTCTCTGTCTCTCTCACTGTCCACTCTGCCTGTCAAAAAAAAAAGTGTATATGTATATGCAGTCATTCATTTATTCAGATAAATTCATTTAAGATCTGACACGTACCTGGCACTAAGCTAGTTACTGAGTACAGTGTCAAGGTATGATACAGTCCTGTTTTCATGGATCTTATATTTTAGCGTGGGAGACAAATAATAAGGGAAAAATTATGATAGGTGTTATGATGGAAGTAACTGGAGTGCTGAAACAGTGAAGATAAACTAAGACCTAAATATAAAAAGAAAGTAAAGCGAGGGATGAGCATTTAAGAAAACAGCAAGTACAAAAGGTATGTAGTAAAGAGAATTTGGAGTATTTAGAAAGTATAAGAAAATATATGTAGTTAAAGCCTGATGATTGATGGAGAGGGTCAAAAAAGAATTAGGAAATAAAGGCAGTTACCAGATCATGAAAGGCTTTTTAACAAATTTATCTGGGCAAAGAATGGAACCCTCCTGAACTTACAAATAAGATTACCTTCTGAGAAAGTGAAACTAGAGAAGATCAAAGCATTATGAACATGAATCACCATGTACAAAAGCAGCTAAAAGCAGAAAAGAAAGTACACGTATGCTTATTGTTTCAGAATTTGAGAAATGTACAATGCAAAGTGACTAGTATATAGACATTGAGAAGAATTAGAAAATAATTGCAACTTAAAATGAAACAAAGTCAATAAGATAGAACCTTGCCTTAAGGAGGAAATCTGTTAACAAGCCTGAGATATGCCTTAAATGTATCTCTCCAGCCACCATTTTGTATGCACACGGGAGGACAGAGCAAAAATAAAAATGAAGGTAAATCTGCTGCTATCTTATTTGTATATTGGGCTTCCATTTTGAGAAAGCTTTTTTTTAACTTTTATTTAATGAATATAAATTTCCAAAGTACAGCTTATGGATTACAATGGCTTCCCCCCATAACGTCCCTCACACCCGCAACCCTCCCCTTCCCACTCCCTCTCCCCTCCCATTCACATCAAGATTCATTTTCGATTCTCTTTGTATACAGAAGATCAGTTTAGCATACATTAAGTAAAGATTTCAACAGTTTGCTTCCACACAGAAACATAAAGTGAAAAATACTGTTTGAATACTAGTTATAGCATTAAATCTCAATGTACAGCACACTAAGAACAGATATCCTACATGAGGAGTAAGTGCACAGTGACTCCTGTTGTTGACTTAACAAATTGACACTCTTGTTTATGGCATCAGTAATCACCCTAGGCTCTTGTCATGAGCTGCCAAGGCTATGGAAGCCCCCCTGAGTTCACCAACTCTGATCAAGGCCATGGTCAAAGTGGAAGTTCTCTCCTCCCTTCAGAGAAAGGTACCTCCTTCTTTGATGACCCATTCTTTCCACTGGGATCTCACTCGTGGAGATCTTTCATTTAGGTGTGTTTTTTGTTTTTTGTTTTTTTTGCCAGAGTGTCTTGGCTTTCCATTCCTGAAATACTCTCATGGGCTTTTCAGCCAGATCCGCATGCCTTTAGGGCTGATTCTGAGGCCAGAGTGCTGTTTAGGACATCTGCCATTCTATGGGTCTGCTGTGTATCTCACTTCCCATGTTGGATCATTCTCTCCCTTTTTTTATTCTATCAGCTAGTATTTGCAGACACTATTCTTGTTTATGTGATCCCTTTGGTTCTTAGTCCTATCATTATGATCAATTGTGAACAGAAATTGATCAGCGGGACTAGTGAGATGGCATTGGTACATGCCACTTTGATGGGATTGAATTGGAATCCTCTGGTATGTTTCTAACTCTACCGTTTGGGGTAAGTCAGCTTGAGCATGTCCCAAATTGCACATCTCTTCCCTCTCTTATTCCCACTCTTATATTTAACAGCAATCACTTTTCAGTTAAGTTTCAGCACTTAAGAGTAATTGTGTATTGATTACAGTATTCAACCAAAAGTATTAAGTAGAACAAACAAAAAATACTAAGAGGGATAACATATTAAGTTGTTCATCAACAGTCAGGGTGAGGGCTGATCAAGTCACCGTTTCTCCTAGTGTTCATTTCACTTTAACAGGTTTCCTTTTTGGTGCTCAGTTAGTTGTCACCGGCGCCACGGCTCACTAGGCTAATCCTCTGCCTTGCGGCGCCAGCACACCGGGTTCTAGTCCCGGTTGGGGCACCGGATTCTGTCCCAGTTGCCCCTCTTCCAGGACAGCTCTCTGCTGTGGCCAGGGAGTGCAGTGGAGGATGGCCCAAGTACTTGGGCCCTGCACCCCATGGGAGACCAGGATAAGCACCTGGCTCCTGCCATCGGATCAGCGCGGTGCGCTGGCTGCAGCGTGCCTGCCACGGCGGCCACTGGAGGGTGAACCAACGGCAAAGGAAGACCTTTCTCTCTGTCTCTCTCTCTCACTGTCCACTCTGCCTGCAAAAAAAAAAAAAAAGAGAGAGAGAGAGAGAAAGCTTTTTGAAAATTGAGCAAATACAAACACACATATTTACAATTATGTTTATAATATTATGCTATAATTATTATGTTATTTATACATGTACAAGGATACTTCAAATGTTCATGAAAAATGAAGTTACAATGCATTTATCTTGATGCAAAAAAAAATTGAAATCCATGCATTAGCAGGACCTTCAGAAAGTTCATGGAAAAACATTATGAAAAATACTATGTCTGGATTTCAAGTTTTTTACAGCCAAACTGTCGCTCCCCCTCTTCGTGGAGGAACGACACAGGACCCTGCGCTGTTCTTTCGTCTGCTCGGCCCTCCCCAGGTTTGCTGCTGGTTCTTCCCGGGTTGGCTACTATCCCTTCCACCTCCGTGGAAGGGCAGTTCCCCCTGGCCGCATTCCCCACTTCCGCAGGGGAGCGGCACACCGCCGGCCGGCTTTCTCGGGGGCTGCACGGGTTCCCTTAGATGTTCCCCATAGATGTTCCTGGTGCATGCCGTCTCTCTCCTCCTTTATAGTCCTCCTCCGCCAATCCCAACTCAGCTGCCCACACGCCGAGTACGCCGCTCTCCTCCAATCAGGAGCAAGTCCTACAGTTTATTAGTTGAACTGGAGGCAGCTGTGCGGAAGCTGTTTACTTCTCTCCCAGCGCCATATTGTGGGAGAGCAGATGCATAGAATAAGTCTTAATTCCAGTAACTCAGTCCAGTCCGGATTGCTCCCCACACCAAACACATCTTTTTTTAAGAGAGGGTGAAGCAGAAGCATAGAGGGAGAGATCTTCAGCCACTGGATCACTCCCCAAATGGCCACAACAGACAGGGCTGGGCCAGGCCCAAGTGAAGAGGCAGGAGCTTCATCTGGGTCTCCCACATGGGTGGCAGGGGCCAAGTGCTTGGATAATCTTCCCCTTCTATCCCAAGCACATTAGCAGAAAGCTGAACCAGTGGAGCAGCTGGGACTTGAACTGGCGCCCATATGGAATGCTGACTCTGCAGTGGCAGCTTAATCTACTGCACCACAGCACCATTCCCACATATCTTGTAAATTCATTTTTTTCTCAAACTTTCTGAAATGCCCTCATGTGCATATATCACATTTATGTTACATATATCATATATAATATACAGTATATATTGTATATTATATTATATATATTATATGTATGGGTGGAGCAGTGTCCAGATTAGCAGAACAGTTGATCCCTAAATAGGCATTCCCATAAAGAGGAAATGAATGCACAAGATTACTTAGTTTGATTAAATTAGTCATTAACATCACCCAACAGAATGATTTTGCCCTTATTCCAGACACACAAAGTTCTAACTAAAGCTGACTTTCCATCAGAGACCACGTTGACCCTCAATATGAGTTTCTAACGCAGCATTTATATTTCATCATCAATATATCATAAATGTGATTTCTAATCTGTATCTGGTTTGGTTAGTGTGTGCCACTCTATCCAAAATGACTTCCATGTCTGCACTTGGAAAACTGAGGATCAATGCCCAGAATACAATCTACAAACCTCATGGAACTACTACACTGAGACTTCTTAACAGTGACCAACCAATCTCTCTCTACAATTTGTGTAGCTTGGGCCTTTTCTAACTACAAGTAAAGAAACTACAGAATCTCATTCACTTAAAGAGACCAGCCACAGTAGGAATCCACACTTAACCGGCACTGCAATACAATAGAAAAATAACTTCATACTGTTTTCATAGAAAAAGAAGCACAGTGGCTTAAAGATTGACATGTAGTTTCAGTACTTGGACTGTTTTTATCATAGAACAGAAAATGTTAAGGGTTAGATCTCAAAATTCATTGTGTCCAACCCCTTAGTTTTAAAGGTGACAAGAGAAGTATGAGAGATCAGATAATTCCCCCAAAATACAGCTGGGACTCCAGGACTAATGATCTTCTCACTATGGTAAGTGCCCACCCCAGAGTAATAGTAGCTCACACTCTAAATCTTTCTGTATACACTGACATGTAATATTCTCATTATGTGCAATGATAGACAAATTAAATAATGAAATTATGTTACCTAAGAAATAAGAACAGATACTTAGCTTTCTCTAAAACTTCATCCTTTTGAATAACAGTCAATTCCAGCCTGAGTAGCAGCCAAAATTATCCTTTTGTAAGAAAGAAATAATGTGCTTTCATGCTTAACACACTGAAATGACTCTCAATCATCAGTAGTAAAAGCCGAGTTCCTATTAATCCCTAAACCATGGTGGATGTTGAGCAACAGACATGATTATTGGGACACTCGCATTACATATCAGAGTGTCAATGTTCCAGTTCTGATCTCATTCCTGATTCCAACTTCCTGCTAATACACATCCTGGTAGGCAGCAAGCGATGGCTCAAGTACTTTGGTCCCTGCCACTCACATGGGAGACCCAAATTGAGTTTCTGGCTCCTGGCTTCAGTCTGGCCCAGCCCCAGATGTTGCAAGTATTTGGAGTGTAAACCATGGATGGGATATCTCTCTCTCTCTCTCTCTCTCTCTCTCTCTCTCTCTCTCTTTCTCTCCTTGCCTTTCAAAAGATAAAGAAATAAATATTAAATGTTTTTTTAAAAGTCCTATGTCTCTGTGTTCACTCTATCACTGCCGTACTTACTTCCTACTTTTCAGATACATCATCTAACTTGGGATCTCTAGACTGACTATGCACCCTGCCTGGAATTCTTCTCTCTCAAATAATTAGAATGACTAACTCTTCATCTCCTTCAAATCTTTGCTTAAATGTCACCTTTGAAATGAGACTTTCCCTTAAAAAAACTGTTACATTCATCCTACACTTCCATTGTCCCTTGCCTTGATTTACTTCTCTATCTATCAGAAAAAAATATACTTCATCATTTACTTATTATGTTTGTTGCTCATTATCTGTCTCCCTTGGGGATGTAAGCTCAAAAAAGCAAGGATCTTGGTGTCTTTTTCCACTATTATATCCCTATCCTTTTATTTTTTTTTAATATTTATTTATTTATTTATTTGAAAGTCAGAGTTATACAAAGAGAGGAGAGACCGAGAGAGAGAGTGATCTTCCATCCTTTGGTTCACTCCCCAATTGGCCAAAACGGACAGAGCTGCCCCGATCCAAAGCCAGGAGATAGGAGTTTCTTCCGGGTCTCCCACGTGGGTGCAGGGGCCAAAGGACTTGGGCCATCCTCCACTGCTTTTCCAGGCCATAGCAGAGAGCTGGATCAGAAGTGAAGCAGCCGGGACTTCAACCAGCGCCCATATGGGATGCTGGCACTTCAGACCAGGGCATTAACCCACTGCGCCACAGCGCCGGCCCCATCTCTATCCTTTTAAACAGCATCTAGGTGCTGGCACTGTGGCATAGTTGGTTAACACCCTAGCTTGAAGCACCGGCATCCCATATGGGCACCGGTTTGAGACCTGGCTGCTCCATTTCCAATCCAGCTCTCTGTTATGGCCTAAGAAAGCAGTAGAAGATGGCCCAAGTCCTTGGGCCCCTGTACCCATGTGGGAGACCCAGAAGAAGCTCCTGGATCCCGGCTTCAGATCAGTGTAGCTCTGGCCATTGCAGCCAACTGGGGAGTGAACCATAGGATAAAAGACCTTTCTCTCTCTGTGTACCTCTGACTCTCAAATAAATCTTTTAAAAAAATAAATAAACAGCATCTAACTCACTAGAAATTTGTTAAATGAATTCATTCATTCATTTGATAATTAGACTACTCTGTGTATACAGACAATCAAATGCCATATAGAAAGTGACTAGGATAGGGACAGGAATTGTAATGCAACAGCTTAAGCTGCCACTTGGAATGTCCAGATCCTATATCTGAGTATCTGGCATGAAGTCCAACCTCTACTTCTGATCTGGCTTCCTGCTAATCCACATGGGAGGCAGGAGATGAAAATCCAAGTACTTGGGTTGCTGCCAATCATATGCAAGACCCAAATGGAGTTTCTGACTCTGCTTCCACCTGACCCAGCCCTAGCTGTTGTGAGACTTTGGAACCAGCAGACAGAACACAGCTCGCTCGCTCTCTCTCTCTTTCTCTGTCAAATAAATAAATCTTGTTTAAAAAAAATAAGTAAAATGATCAGGGTAAAGTAAATCCTTTCCCTGATGTATCAGATCTTCCAATGGATTCCATCAAGGAATTTTTTTTTTAGATTTATCTTATTTATTTGAAAGACAGAGTTACATAGAGAGGTACAGAGAGAGATCTTCCATCCAATAATTTACTCCCCAGATGGCCACAACAGCCAGAGCTGCCCTGATCCGAAGCCAGGAGCCAGGAGCTTCTTCCAGGTCTCCCACGTGGATGCAGTGGCCCAAGGACTTGGGCCATCTTCCACTGCTTTCCCAGGCCATAGCAGAGAGCTAGATCGGAAGAGGAACAGCCAGGAACAGAACCGGCGCCCATGTGGGATGCCAGCGCTTCAGGCCAGGGCTTTAACCCGCTGTGCCACAGTGCTGGCCCCCCATCAAGGAAATTAATACATGTCTACTCCCTGAAGTTCTCCTTTAGTGCTGGGGTCAAATAAAATATAAAATTACTTTAATAATTGAAAACTGATCAATTACTCTTATTTTACAGAAATGTCTAGGTTGCATTTAAAATGAGTATTAAAGCAATCTAGAGGGGCCGGCACTGTGGCATAGCAGGTAAAGCCACCGCCTGCAGTGCCAGTATCCCATATAGGTGCCAGTTCAAGTCCCAGCTGCTCCACTTCCCATCCAGTTCTCTGCTATGGCCTGGGAAAGCAGTAGAAGATAGCCCAAGTCTTTGGGCTCCTGCACCCACATGGGAGACCTGGAAGAGGCTCCTTGCTCCTGGCTTTGGACTGGCGCAGCTCCAGCCATTGCAGCCATCTGGGGAGTGAACCAGCGGATGAAAGACTTCTCTCTCTTTCTCTCTCTCTGCCTCTCCTTCTCTCTCTGTGTAACTCTTTCAAATAAATTAAATAAATCTTAATTTAAAAAAAGGCAATCTAGAATGTTTAGACAAAGAATACTATTTATATAGTATTAAACTTGCAAATTTTCTTGGTTATAATCCTGACATTTTCTCTGGAATTGTATCCTGTGAAATTGGCACACAATGAGAATTCAAAAAGTGTGTATGTGTATGTATAGTGTATGTGTGTGTGTGAATATGTGTACCCTTATCAACAGTCAAGATCAAGTACCTGAAAATAAGCACATTAAACTATTAGTACTACACACATCTTTCAACTCCTTGTTTTCCAGAACAATCATCATATATTTATTCTAGAATATCTTCATTCTATTTCTCAGTCCTTTTTGTAAACAAAGACAAACATACAAGAAATCTGGCTGAATCTAGTACTGCAGATGGTCACTACATTTGGTCAAGCACTGCACATCTCCAGGAATGCCACATACATCATACATGGATTATAAAATGCACCACCATGCTGCTTGCTCACCAGAGGCTGATACCTCTGGGTCTTTTCAGAACTAATCAGCCTAGGCTGGAACTGAAATCAGTAATCTTTCTTTTTAAAAAGTAACTACAAGTTACTAAGATAATCAACCCTAGGCAATGAGATATGAGGTGATTTACATTAAATTAATGGCTTCAAAACATTTACCAGTCACTAAAAATTGGAGAAAGTTTAGAGACACATTTAACTTAAAATGACTCTATTTGATAGGTCAGTATAATTCATCCCTGAATCCTTGTTTAGTTAGCAGGTTTTCTGGTAAAGGGGCTAAAATTTTGTATCACAATAATCTTATAGCACCCTCAAGTGGATTAGACTGACAATGTTTTTATTGTCAAATAAATGTAATTGGTCTGTGAAATGAAAAAGAGAGAAGGTGGTAGAATCCTTTCAAACAAAGACTATTTGTATTAACGACGATGTACCAACTGTTAGCACGGCTTATGGTTTGAACTATTCCTTTAATAACAGGGATGGGTTTTTGGCTGATATAACCATACTTTCCATTACTTTTGCTTACTCTTTTCTGAGTCACTTTAGGGTGGCTTTGTATAGAACATAGCTAACTACCTTTATATGTAGGAAAGCTATAATCGAACATCTTGACCAGCGCCGCAGCTCACTTGGTTAATCCTCCGCCTGCAGCGCCGGCACCCCGGGTTCTAGTCCCAGTCGGGGCACTAGATTCTGTCCCGGTTGCTCCTCTTCCAGTCCAGCTCTCTGCTGTGGCCCAGGAAGGCAGTGGAGGAGGACCCAAGTGTTTGGGCCCTGCACCTGCAAGGGAGACCAGGAGAAAGCACCTTGCTCCTGGCTTCAGATCGGCACAGCGTGCCACCCGTAGCGGCCATTTGCGGGGTGAACCAACAGAAAAGGAAGACCTTTTTCTCTGTCTCTCTCTCTCACAGTCTAGCTCTGCCTGTCAAAAAAAAAAAAAAAAGGAAAGCTATAATCTGAACATCTCCTACCAAATACTTAAAAATAAAACGAAATGGCTCCATTATTTGGAAAAAAAGGTTCAAGGCTATCTTTGGATATTAATAATAGATATTTGTATTTGTCAGATTTCTCCAGAGAAAGAATTATTTGTATGTATATCATGAAGAGTTGTCTCACATGATTATGGAGGATTATGGAGTCACACGATCTGTCATCTGTAAACTGGAGGCTCAGGAAAGCTGATGGTGTAATACAGTCAGAGTCCAAGGCCTGAGAACCAGGACAGCCAATGGCACAAAGTCCCAGTCTGAAGACAGGAGAAAAGGAAATGTGATGTCTCAACTAAAGCAGTGAGGCAGAAAAAAAGTTGGGTAAATTCCTCTTTCTTCTGTCTTTGGTTCTATTCAGCTACTCAATTGATAATGCCAGTCTACACTAAGGAGAGCCATCCACATACAGAGTCCACTGAGTCAAATGTTAAACTTGTCCAAAAAACAGTCTTATAGACACAACCATAAATTTTTAGCCAGCTATGGTAACATTTCCTGACCTAGTCGAGGTGACAGAAAAAATCACAATATTTTCAAAATATTGTAAGTCCCATACATACATATTTTAAGACCATATCCTTAAGGAGTATGGTTTCCACTGACCCTCTAACTGCAAGGTTTGGTGAAAAGACCACTAGATAGACAATAGTGTGGATTCTAAAATGGCATTTTGAACAACAAAAACAATTTTAATATCTCCATATTTGTGTCTTCATTTTTTAGGTGGCAGAGTAGAAAAAGAAATTACTAGTTAGTAGCCTCTTAGTATATTAATCGAGACTCTTGCTTTCAAACCGTAAGCTTACTCAAGTTGGTTTAAGCAACAAAAAAGCAATTTTCTTTTTCAAGGAAAAAAAGGGAGATGAGTTGGAGAACACCTGGCTTCAATATCTATGTTATATAGCTTTAGTAATCCAGGCAGTATATATAGGCAAAAGAATAAATAAATAAATATTCAATGGAACAGACTAGACAGCCAAGAAATAGATCCATGAAAGGACAGTCAACTGACATTTGATAAAGGTGAAAAGACATCACAATGGATAAAAGACAATCTTTTCAGGAAATGAAGATGGAACACATAAACATGCATATGGGAAAAAAAGAATGTATACACAAATGTTCCACTCTTCTCAAAAATAAAACCAAACTGGATCATAGATAGAAGTATAAAATGAAAAACTATAAAGCTCCTAGAAGGTAACATAGGAAAAAATGTAGATGACCTGTGGTTTGGTGCTGACTTTTTAAATATAATACCAAATGCATAATTCATGAAAGTAAGAATTGATAAGCTAAACCTCATAAAAATTAAAATTATCTACTCTGTAAAAGATACCATAAGAAAATCAAAAGACAAGCATCATATTGGTGAAAATATTTGCAAAACACACATACAAAAAACTGTCAAAACTCAACAATAAAATAAACAACCCATTTTAAAAATAGGCCAAAGACTTTAACAGATACCATACTAAACAAGATACGCAGATGGTAAATAGGAATATGAAACAATGCACATTTGTTACTTTATGAACCTTCCTAGACACATCATTATCTCCCCAAGTTCTAAGTTTATCTTAGAATACACTCTTGGTGCTGTTCCTTCTGTGGATTTAGACAAATAAAATGACATGTATTCACCATTACAATATCATAAAGAGTAGTCCCACTGCCTTAAAAGTCTTCTGTGCTCTTCCCTCCCTCCCTAGAATTCCTGGCAACTATTGATCTTTTTGCTGTCTTCATAATTCTCCCTTTTCCAGAAAGTCATATACTTGTGATCATACAGTATGTGGTACTTTCAGACTGGCTTTTTTCACCAGCACCATGTATTTAAATTTCCTCCATGTCTTTTCATGGCTTAATAGTTCATTTCTTTTCAATGCTGAGTATTATTCCATTATTTGGAAATACAGCTATTTTTTTATCCATTCATCTACTCAAGGACATCTTGATTGTTTCCAAATTCTGGCAATTATAAATAAAGCTGCTATAAACATCCATGTGCAGGGCTTTTTTTTTTTTTTTTTTTTGGTAAACATAACTTTTTAACTATTTGGTGTAAATACCAAAGAGTGTGATTGTTGGGATCATATGGTAAAAATATATTTAGCTTTGTGGAAAAGCTCCAAACTGCCTTCCCATCAGTAAAGAATGAGAGTTCCTGTTATCCCACATGTTCACCAATGTTTGATATTATCGGTATTCTGGATTTTGACCATTCTAATTGCTGTGTAATTGCATCTCACTGCTGCTCTAATCTACATTTTTTTCTTGATGGATGATATGAACATCTTTTAATATGTTTATTTGCCATCAGTATATCATCTTTGGTAATGCGTCTGTTAAGGTCTTTGGTTCATTTTTAAATTGGGTTGTTCCTTTTCATAGTTGTTTATGAGTTTATTCAGACTTTCTACTTCTTGATTCAATCTTATGAGCTGTGTTTATAGGAATTTGTCCATTTCCCCTAGATTATCCAATTTGTTGGCACATAATTGTTTACAATAATCTCTTAAAATCCTTTTTTATTTCTGAGGTGTTCATTACTTTCATTTCTGATTGTATTTGAGTTTTTACACTATTTTTTCTTAGTAAGGGTTTGTTGATTTTAATTTTTTCAAAACATCAACTCTTCCTTTCATTGATGTTTTTATAGTTTTCTATTCATTATTTGATAGATTTCTGCTCTGAACTACATCATTTCCTTTCTCTGAGAACCCTGTGTTTAGTTTGTTCTTTAGTATCTTAAGGTCAAACATTATATTATATACTTGAGATTCCCCATATAGATGGTAATTAGCAAATTAGTTGCCCTAAATACACGTTACTAGAGAAAGGAAGACTATCTGCTACCACTTACTTCTTTTCAAGAAGACTTTACTGAGCTACACATACTTAAAATGGTAACAGATTTCACTACATTGAAATAAAACAGAGCCACATTACTTCAAAATTAAAGTTAATGATAAGATATTCTCTCTAGCAACTCTGTCAAGATCTATCAAGACCTAAGCTGGAATCCAAACACTAGCTTCTTACTAGTTAGGTGACATTTAGTAATTTACTCAGACACTCTGAGCCTGGTTCCTCAATCTCTAAAATCGAAGTGAAATGAGATTCTGTGGTTAGGATCTTAAGTCAGTAAGCAGGAACGGGGCACCAACGTCAAAATTACTTTTAAAAGTCACTTGAATTACCCTCGAGTATGGTATACTGACTTTTGTGCACATTATATTATACAGTAAGTCTTAAGGACACTCAGTCTTGAGAAACCACTGAGACAAACTAAAGAAAGTATGTGTATATGTGTAGATACATATTCATGTCCAGACGTTAAAGTCATTCTGGTCTTACAACTCTAAAATCACTAGGAGTAAACGAGATATGAAAACAAAATACAATTCCGACTGCTTAATAAACGCTAGCGTCCTTCCTTTCTCCTGCATTTTAATCTATTTCTATATAATATTATCACACGAATCTTAAAAAGTAAGATTCTCACACACATCTATCACCGGAACCCCAGTCAGCTCTTAGCTCAGGAAATCCTTTGCCCAGTCCTTCGGGCTTCCGTAGTCTCGCTCAGCGTCGCGAGATCTGGACTGAGCTCCGCCGCCCCGCCGCTGGGGGCGGCCCCGGAACACTTCCGGGAGGCAACCCTGTAAGTGGCTGTGATGTGTGCTTCCGGCCGCCTTCGGGCTGCCTTCAACTGTGCTTCGGAGCTCAAGTAGCGGACACGGGGCAAAATACTAGCAGCGCCCCGGAAGCCCCGCAGGTCCCTGCAGCCATGGACCGGGACCTTCTGCGGCAGTCGCTGAATTGCCATGGCCCGTCCTTGCTCTCCCTGCTGCGGAGCGAACAGCAGGACAATCCGCACTTCCGGAGCCTCCTGGGGTCGGCGGCCGAGCCTGCCCGGGGCCCGCCGCTCCAGCCCCAGTTACAGGGCAGGTAAGGGGACTGCGGCGCCACTGCCGCTCGGGAGTCGGGGAGGCCGCTGGAGGCTCCAGGACCGCGGCACCGCGCCCACGGGGCGGAAGGCCGACGGGAAGATGGGCGCCCCTGGTGCGGGTCTCCGCGGGCTGCCCTCTGAACTTTGTGGCACTTTAGCTTTGGCGTCTGCTGCTGGAGGCGTCATTTTTTAAGTGTCCCCGCCTTCCACGCCCTGGTTGGCGAATGAGGGAACGTCTGGACACTTTTTCTCCCGGGGGTTAGGTGTCGCGCCTGGAACGGATGGGGTCAGGAAAGCTCTTAAGGAAACGCTCGCCTCTCACATGCACCAGTTTAAATAGCATTTGTTTCTTTTTTAAGGAAAGAGAAGAGAGTTGACAACATTGAAATACAAAAATTCATTTCCAAGAAAGCAGATCTGCTTTTTGCGCTTTCCTGGAAGTCAGACACACCTGCAAATTCCGAAGTTAATGAAGACAATGAAGGTGAGTTTAGTCTTAAGATCTTGTAAAAATTGCAGCTTCGTTTAACAATACTCGGGCTGAAACGGGACTCGGAGCTATTGTTACTGATTTTATTAACTTTTTTTTTCAGATCATTATGCAGTCATGCCACCTTTAGAGCAGTTCATGGAGATACCTAGCATGGACCGGAGAGAGCTGTTTTTCCGAGATATTGAGCGTGGTGATATAGTCATTGGTAGAATCAGTTCCATTCGAGAATTCGGTTTTTTCATGGTATTGATCTGTTTAGGAAGTGGCATCATGAGAGATATATCCCACTTAGAAATCACAGTAAGTTACTCATTTTTCAGTTATGTGGATTACTTCTGTTTCTGATAAAGTCTCCGCAGTGCAGGAATTATATCTTTCAATCCAATTGTGCTTAAGTATCTGTCCAGATACTTTTGAGAACTAAATAAGCAGTAATTGGAAAAAAAACAAAATAGCTTTTTATTTGCAAAAGTTGTTAGCGAAAGAGTTGCAGAGTTACATTCTTGATTTCTAGTTTTGGACTCTGGCAGAGCATTGTCCTTTTTAAATACTCAAGGATAACATCAGCGGACAAGATGAGGTTGATTGATTTTTTGTACTTCAGTTGAACATAGTGTTAATTATTGAATATTTGGCATTAGGCTCTTATATGTTGATAATTTAGAGAAAAGTTGCTGTTGTCAGTATATTTATGATAAAAAAAATGTGATCTGTATGTTGTGTTTTGCCCAAGATAAATAGTCCTGAATTTGAAATAACATATCACTTTAAAAGATGTGATATTTAGAATCCTGGTAGTTTAGTTTTGTTTTTGAGACTTTAGTTTTTGAACTGAACCAGAAGACATATTTTACTGTTTGGACACAGAAATTACTTGTAACTAAAATTCTCATTTAAATTTAGACTTTAAGGAGTTGGTTGTTTTTAAAGTTTATGTCAACAATTAGCTGTCCATGTTGAACATTTAAAATCAAAGAAGACCTTGTTCTTACCAAAGAGTGAAATACCTGATGTTTTAAAATACTTTTTGTTGCAGGCTCTTTGTCCTTTAAGAGATGTACCTTCTCACAGTAACCATGGGGATCCTTTATCATATTACCAAACTGGTGACATCATTCGAGGTGATCAGCTTCATCATGCTAATAAAAACCTAACAACTGTTGGGGCGAGTGTTTGGCACAGTGCTTAAATATGGCTTGGGATTCCCACATCACATACTGGATTGCCTGGGTTTAATTCCACTCACCATTCCGCTTTCTGTGTATACCCAAAGAGGCAGCAAGTGATAGTTCAAATAGTTGGAGTCCTGCCATTCATGTGGGAGACATGTTCTGGGTTCTGGCCTCTTGATTTCAAGCTGGCACAGCCCTGGCCGTTGCAGGCATTTGAGTATTGAGCCAATTGTCTGTCTCTCCCTGTCTTTTAAATAAAATGAAAATAATTTTTTTAAGTAGCGATGTTGGTATTTTTTGTTAAATTTAAAAATTGAGTGTTATTCAGGTAGTATTTGTTAAGTTTGCTTTTGATGTTTACATTTTCTTACAAATCAGCATAGTTTCTCTCTCTCTTATTTAGCTGGAATCAAGGATATTGACAGATACCATGAAAAGCTTGCAGTATCTCTGTATAGCTCATCTCTTCCACCACACCTGTCTGGCATTAAATTAGGTGTAATTAGCTCTGAAGAACTTCCTTTGTACTATAGGTAATTTATCCATGTTATTTCAATATAATTTCTTATAAAAATTATTGGATATAAAATAGCAAATTTTGTTAAATATCTGACAGTCAAGTGAAATTTTAATTTCTCTTAATGCAAATTTTTTCTTTTTTTAATTACTTTAGCTTGGTAGAAGGAGTCATATATTGCTGTGCCATCATATAAAATGTTATTAGTATTTAAACTTTAAATGATAATGTTATTTCTTTAGTAGAAATGAAATGTAATAAGTTAGTTACTATGTTTTTGTCTTTGTGTTTTGTTTTAAGGAGGAGTGTTGAACTAAGTAGCAATTCTTTAGATTCCTATGAAAATATCATGCAGAGTTCGTTGGGATTTGTTAATCCAGGAGTAGTTGAATTCCTTCTTGAAAAACTAGGAATAGATGAATCTAATCCACCATCTTTAATGAGAGGCCTGCAAAGGTATAGTAAATCAGTGTTATTCTCATGGGTGGTAAGGATAATGGTGCTGAGCTTAAGCTGCAAAGCTGAAAAGGCCATATTTGACTATTCAAAGCCTAGCAGCAAGAAAATGCCAAAAGTTGAACAAGGTGATCCCATCTCCTTCTGGCCTGGAATTTCTTATAAATGGTTAGATGTGTGACACATAAACAAGTAGAGAAGAATGAAGAAACTTATGAGGATTTTTTTTTTAAGGTAAAGAAAAATATTGTTTCACATTAATCATTTGTGGTACAAGGATTTTGCTACATACAAATTTGGGTTTTACTCCTTTTCTGTGAATTTATCAGGTATGATGAAGTGTAGTTACTTAAAAAGTATTTAATTTACAGTTTAATTTTTTTTATAGCAAAAATTTCTCTGAAGATGATTTCGCTTCTGCATTGAGAAAGAAACAATCTGCATCTTGGGCTTTAAAATGGTATGAAGAATGTATTTATAAATATTACATTTCTGGTCTAAAAGGTTGGGGTAAAGCAGGCATGCTTATCATCTTGACTAAAATTTGTTAAAAATGAATTAAGATGATGTCTTTTGGACATTTGGTTTTTATGAGAGTAAGTCATCTTAGGTTGTAAACATAATAGAAGTTAATAGCTGTTTCATAAACATATAAAAATGTATATATTTTATAATGTATGTTTTATAAAAGTTAATAGCTGTTTCATAAACATATAAAATGTATATACTTTATAATGTATATTTTATAAAAATGTAGAGACAAAATGCATCTTACATATCTTGGGAGTATTTTGAAAACTAAAATAATTCAAATTTTATGACATTTGATTTTAAAATGTGTTTGCACTAACATTTTCTTTAGTGTGAAGATTGGAGTTGATTATTTTAAGGTTGGACGACATGTGGATGCTATGAATGAATATAATAAAGCTTTGGAAATCGACAAACAAAATGTGGAAGCTTTAGTCGCACGTGGAGCCTTGTAAGTGAATTGTGGATTTTCAGGAACATTTACAAGATAAATGTGACTAACATTTAAGACTACCTCACATGCTACATTCATCTAATTTTATTTCATGTCTCTAGATATGCAACAAAAGGAAGTCTGAACAAAGCAATAGAGGATTTTGAGCTTGCATTAGAAAACTGTCCTACTCACAGAAATGCAAGAAAATACCTCTGCCAGACACTTGTAGAAAGAGGAGGGCAGTAAGTATTGGGTTTTGTTTAATAGTAGACGTCTAATCTTCAAGTACTATAAAATCTTAATGTAGGAAATAGTAATGTTAGCTTCACGTCGTGTAAAATCTTCATTTTAATATTGGTTGACAATTTGTTTTAGATATAGTCCATTTTAATCTTCTAGTTGCTGAGATTCTTTAAGATTGGAGATATTTTAATGTCTGAAGTTCATTTTTCTGAATATCTGTTTTCATTATATAGAAATATAAATGCAGGGCCAGCGCCATGGCTCACTTGGTTAATCCTCCGCCTGTGGTGCCGGCATCCCATATGGGTGCGGGTTCTAGTCCCGGTTGCTCCTCTTCCAGTCCAGCTCTCTGCTGTAGCTCGGAAAGGCAGTGGAGGATAGCTCAAGAGCTTGGGCCCCTGCACCCGCATGGGAGACTGGGAGGAAGCACCTGGCTCCTGGCTTCGGATCGGGGGTGAACCAAGGGAAGGAAGACCTTTCTCTCTGTCTCTTTCTCTCACTAACTCTATCTGTCAAATTTTTAAAAATCATAAAAAAAAGAAATATAAATGCAAAAGGATAAGAGATTAGGTAAGCATTCTTTTTCTGAATATGCATTAAAATTTTTTGTTTTAATGGTGAATTTAATCTTAATTCATCATTTTAATAGCACAAAGTCAAATATGAATAGAGTGTTCTGTGGTTCCAAGGTTTTGCTGTCATATTATCCTATTACTCCATTTAGTCCAGTAAAATCCATAAATTTAGATTAAATGGAAAAGTAGATCATTAAGAACAAACTTATAATTATGTTACTGTCCTGAGATGCTGGCAATGTCACTTAGCTTACACCAACCAGTTACACAAGCCATAAACATTGCTCATCTTTGACTCATTCCTTACAGCATCCAATCTGTTGACGCAAAGGTGATCCCATCGTTTTTATTTTATAGTAGTTTGTCTAAGAACTAAAAGCATTTTACAGAGTCCTTTTACCACCCTATAGTTAAATTTTCTAATTCTGATTTTTCATAACAGACTTACGCTCAAGGTCATACTGTTTCCAGACATTGATTTGTCATATGCTTTTATGTATCATTACAGAAATGTGCCTGTTTTGGATGCTTAGTATGGTTTTAGTTACTAGTAATGGACTTCTGTGTATGTAGTATATTAATACCAAATAGAGTAAAAAGCATGTTACTTAAGTATTGTTCATTTTGGAATGTCTTGGTAAACATGATGTTTCCATGATAAAGTTCTCTTAAATAACACTCTGATCTATAAGTATATTTGAGTACTTTTGTTTTTACAAAAAAAAAAAAAAAATCTTTCTTTCAAATTTAGGTTAGAAGAAGAAGAAAAGTTTTTAAATGCTGAAAGTTACTATAAGAAAGCTTTGGCTCTGGATGAGACCTTTAAAGATGCAGAGGATGCTTTGCAGAAACTCCATAAATATATGCAGGTGATTCTTTATTTCCTCTTAGAAATAGAATGATATTTAAAGTTAATACCAAAACTTAATTGTCTTTTACAGAAAACCATTCTAGAAGTGAGGCATTATGAAAAGTGCCTTTCTAGATCTAGCTTTTCCTAATTGGGCCTGACATTGCCTTATAGTGCCTCTTCTTATTTACCCTTAAAAGTAAAAATAATCCCATGAGAAGATTCCTGTTGCCTAAATGTGGTTTGTGGTTTTGAGAACTGTCCTTGTAGTGAGCTTACCTGCTGGTTATGAAATTATCAGTGTTGCTACTGTAATTGAGCCAACTTAAAAAACCTTTTTGAGACATATTTTAAACTTCCTTTTCCTGTAATACTGATGATGATGTTTTCTCATGCATTTTCTTCTGAACTGGACCATTGCTGCTGTGTCTGTGACATCTGGTGCTGCTCATCCCCATCCACAAACTGGAAAATGGTTTCTTATGTAATCATGCATCCAACTGGGCTGTGCTATTTTTAAAATGGTTTGTATTTGAACATGATGATTGCCTCCTCAATTCACCTTAATGGCATGTCTTTATTTGAATTTTATTTGTAAAATTTGTGTCCTGTTTTAATTTTTTAAAATGACTTTCTTGTGTTCTATATTTTACCTTTCTTGCACTTTGGGTCATGGGGTACCACTGCAATGGCTTCCCCTTTTTTCATGGGATACCAACTGCAATATGGTCCTCAATACTGTACTGGCCATCCCAATGATTAATGCCAACATCTGTATGATTTTTTTTTAATGTTTAAAAAAAATACCTGTTTAATGCTGGCTATATGGTGATTGGTAATATTGAATTGGGTTTCTGGTTGGGGGGTGGTCTTTTGAATGCTGGGTTTTATATATTCTGCTATTTTTAACGTGTGGTTTTTTCCGATATCTGGGTTCTAAAAGAAATCTTTGGAATTAAGAGAAAAACAAGCTGAAAAGGAAGAAAAACAGAAAACAAAGAAAATAGAAACAAGTGCAGAAAAATTGCGTAAGCTCTTAAAAGAAGAGAAAAGGTAAACTATGACATTCAGTGTTTTTTAACTTAAGGCAACTACTAGTTAGAACCCAAAGTACCACATGGAGGTAAAGTAAGTATAAAAAGTATTTCAAATTTTAAACAGTGACTTAAAATTTTTAACAAATATGCTTGTCCATTTTCCTGTAAGAGATTAAACAAAGTGGAATCTAATGCTTCAGTCCTTAAAAGAAAAAAACACATTAACCTTAGAAATAAAACACAAGATAAGTTATTCTAATTATTTTTATGTTAGGGAAAACTAGAGCAGTGGTTCACAGCTGGCAGAGGTTTTGTTCCCCAGAGGATATTTGGCAATGTCTGGTGATAATTTTGGTTGTCTTAACTAATAAACTGCTACTGGCATCTCGTGGGTAGAGATCAGGGGAGCTATGAAACACTGTGTCTCACACACACACACACACACACACACACACACACACGACAGCCCCCACTCCTTCCGTCAACAAAGAATTATTTGGCCAAAATGCCAGTCATGCTGAGGTACAAAAACTATGACAATAGCAGTTAAAAAACTTTAATCCTCTACTTAGGTGTTCAGATAGTATTAGAAATGTCACTGTCAGACTTTCAGAACCGTGAATTTGTTACAGTGACACCTAGCTGCACAAGTATCTTTTCCCCAAAATTCACAGTTGGTAGTAAAATTGGATCTTGTAATAACAGATTATTTTATGAGAGTACTTCAAAAAGTCCTTAGAAAAATGGAATTAAAAGATATTTATTTTGATACTCAAAAATGGAAATCCATTCCTGGTTTTTTCACAATATACACTTTCCTTGAACTTTTTGATGACTTCTTATGTCATTTATCTGAGCCACAGTTTTTATAAAATCTTTAAAAGAAACAAAATAGGATGAAAGTTTATGGCTAATTTAGGAAAATTTTTGTATTTAACATATCTGATGAGTTAACTACCTTTTTTAGGCTAAGAAAGAAAAGAAGAAAATCGACTTCTTCATCTTCAAGTGTTTCGTCTGCTGATGAATCAGTTTCTTCTTCATCATCCTCTTCATCTTCTGGTCACAAAAGGCATAAGAAACATAAGAGGAACCGTTCAGAGTCTTCTCGAAGTTCGAAAAGGCATTCATCTAGGGCATCCTCAAATCAGGTAGATCAGAATAGGATAGATGAATGCTACCCTGTTCCAACTAATACTTCAGCATCTTTCCTTAACCAAAAGCAAGAAGTGGAAAAACTGCTGGAAAAGCAAGATAGGTCACAATATCAAAAGACACAGGTAAAAGAGAAAGAAAGATGCCCGCTCTCTTCATCTTCAGTTGAAATTCCGGATGATTATGGAGGTAGGTCTGAAGATTCAAAAGATTTTTATAATAGCTATAAAACCCAGGCAAGTAGCAGCAAAACTGAAAAGCCATATAAATCAGAAAGATACTTTTCTGGTAGAAGAAATTCCTCAGATTCCTCCTGTAGGAATTCAGAGGACAAGACAAAAATGTATGGTTATAGGAGGTTTGAAAAAGATACAGAGGGAAGAAAAGAGCACTATAGAAGGTGGGAACCAGGTTCTGGGAGGTATTCTACTTCACCAGCAAGCTCAGAATACTCTTGGAAGTCAGTGGAAAAATATAAAAAGTATACTTATTCAGGATCACGTGATTTCAGTAGACATGAGCAAAGGTATCGATTAAATACAAATCAAGGAGACTATGAAAGACAGGACAATTACGGGGAGGAAAACAAAACAGAGGTTCCAGAAGAAGAGGAACTAAATAACAAAGAGCAATCAGAAAGCAGAATTAAAAAAGATTTACCTCAAAATCTTCTCAATATATTTAATCAGATAGCTGAATTTGAGAAAGAAAAGGGAAATAAGCCAAAAAATTAAGGTGCCAAAAATCAGCACCATTATACTAAATGCTGTTAATAAAAACTTTGGGGTGTTTTAGTTATTAGTAGTCCGGTGCAAAGATTACAGAAAGCAAATGCTTTTTAGCTTTTCTCAGATTTTATGTTACAGTTGTAGGTCCCCTTGTCACAGCTTGATTTTTAGGAATTTCATAAGTTTATGTATAGTATATTTCTTACTCTGACAGTATAAACCGCTTCACCTAAAGGTAATTCTCTGAATGTACTGCTGCTTCATTGTATTATGGGGTATGAGAATTCCTGGGCTCACCTGAACTCACTGTTTGAAAAAAATTAAATTTTGTGTATTGAACTCTGTTTTCATCAAACATTATTTTAATTTTTTTCTGTTAAATTAAAAGCCCACAGTTTTTGAAAGAGGTTATATGTTTGGTCCTTGAATACTAGTTTATATCCATCATTTGTTTAAATTTTTTATATTTTAAAATGATGTCTTAATTTCCCTCTAAAGCCTGATTTAATTAAAATGAGTGGGGAATGGTTTTTTCTATCCAGCTTAGTGAGTACCTTAGAAATAGGACCATGAAAGCTAAATAGGAGCCCGCCTCACTGCTCTATTTCATGTTATTGCTGATATTACAGCCATAAGGAAGTTTTTAACCTTAAATATTGGCAAGACTCTTAAAGACCATATTCCAAGTGACAGTAAATAAGAATAGAAAAGAATCCTGTTAGCACATAGAGAGCTATGGCAGAGAAGCATGCTCTAACTGTGGTTTTCTTTTAGGGAAAAAATATTGGGAAACTATTTTAGTACTGCAAATGTTCAGTCAAGAAGGCACTAGGCATGTTTTTAAATAAGCTAGAGCTGGCCTGCATTTATGCTTTTCTTTTAACTTCTTCCTTGATGCTTCCCCAGTGTCTTCCTTTCTCAGGATCTGAATAAATAACTTGACCAGCCAGAGCTTGGCTTTACTCAAATTTCAGCAAGTAGAGTTTAAAGAAGAAACTTGAGTTGTAAATAGCTTCCCAGATTTACTGAAAACAGTATAGTGTACTCTTGGGAGATACACATAGAAATCACAGGTATTGGGTGTATAACAACTGTAGAAACTTTCCATAATAAGATGTCACAAGCTGTTGATCACATGGGCTTTGAATCCTGTTATTCATAACACTAGGTGTTACAGGTGGATGGGTAAACAGGTATCCCTCTACAGAGGTCTACATGAGGTAGAATGAGAAGAAACTTGCATCTCCTTATTCCATGTTGCAGTTCTTGCCAACAGTAAAATACCAGAATTTTAAGTTCTGAGCTTACTATTTATGTCCTTCAAACTCCAGTGATGGGAGCCTCATGGAAAGTCTAAAATTTGTTTTGCCAGGAAACAAGGAAAAGAAACCCTTGTCAGAAGCAATAGAAAGTGGAAATAGAAATGTGTCAGTTAGTTAGGCATTATTCCTTGCACCCAGAAACACATCTTAAGATGAGTCTTCATTTCTGTGTATCAATAACTTAGTGTCATCTACTTAGTGATGCTGCTAAAGACTGATAACTGCCCGGTGATGCAGCCTTTGACCTTTTGGAATGCATAATACAGTTTACTATTTTACATACATTTTATCACATTTTAATTTTTTAAGGTTATTTATTTGAGAGGCCAAGTTATAGAGAGAGGTCTTCCATTCGCTGGTTCACTCCCCACATGGCCTCAATGGCCAGAGCTGGGCTGATCAGGAGCCAGGAGCTTCTTGCAGGTTTCCCATGTGGGTGCAGGGGTCCAAGCACTTGGGCCATCTTCCACTGTTTTCCCAGGCCATCAGCTGGGAGCTTGATTGGAAGTGGAACAACTGGAACTCGAACTGGTGGCCATATGGGATGCTGGCACCACAGCAGAGGCGTAACTTACTATGCCACAGTGCCAGCCCCACACAATTTTATTTTAAAGTTAGGATAATGCCTTAGTATACAGGCTGCCGGAATTTAAAAATTCCAACTTTCCCAAGACCTCTTTCCTGGGGCATATTAAACTTAACCAGTTTCTAAGTGTATGTTCAAGAATCTCATTACAGCAAAAACCTATTAGAGGTTTGCATTGTCCAAAATCTGCAGTGACATCTTCAACAATTTTTGTCAACATAGTACATCTATATTTTGTACATAAACGGGTTTACTGTTGTGATTTCCAGAAGTAGATGAAGCATGGTTTTTTGGATGTTAAGATAACTCCATATTAGGAGATAGAGGGATTGATCCTTTATCTGACCATTCAGCATTATTACACTGAAGTCACGACTGTTTAAGGATTAAATGTAGACCTGTGTGCTGATCCAAAGATTCTGTTTACCCAGCAAGTAACAATGCTAGGTTCATGGTTATGACTTAGTAATAGAAATCTTTAATAGTGCAGTTACTGTTTGCCCAGACCTGTGCATTGTTCATATTATCCAATTATTTCAACAAACTTGTAGGTCACTGTTAGTATCATAAATTCCAAGGGGGGAAATCTTAAAGAAGTAACTATCACAGAGCAAATAAAACACAACCCCCACCTTCGTAGAATTCAGTGTTTAATATTTCAACTTCCAAAAAATTTACAAAGCAGCATTTTAGCCAGAATTATCTTTTCACTCATCTTACTTACTGGACTTCACTACACCTGTTATTTGCTGTTTCTAAAACAAAACAAAAAATGATAGGAGAAACATTTATTACCACTACTGCTTTTCAGAAAGAAGTAAAAATTATGGTTCTAAAACAGTGACAGCTGTCACAACATATATTTCCCAACGTTTGAAGAAGACATTTATGGATATGAATTCTGATCTCTTTATTTGGAATCCAGTTTTATAGCCTAGTATTCAGCACTCTGTACCAAGAGTTCAAAATGTTGGATACATTACAATAAAGTATTAACTGGAAAAACTAATTCTAGATCTGATGGTCTATCTCCATTGTAAATTTATAGAATTCTTATTACAAATAAAATCACATCCAATTTTATTTATTAAATCAAAATTTCAAAAATGTATGCTTGGGTGGCTATATTTTGAGAATAAACTCTTTAATGCATATGATTTATTTCACAGTATGGAGTAATTCTCAGAAATTTAAGATGCATTTTTCATTGATAGTGTTTTTTTCCTTATGAATTGTTTCCTTTGGTAGAAGGGAGGTAACAGAACTTCTTGGTTGAAAATTATACCAAAAGGAGAAACTGCTTGTAACAGGTTCTCCCCCACTCAAAATCAGGAAATATCTCTTTGAATAAAGAAAACAACTTGGGATTCTTGTTATTGTTAGAAACACTTACTAGTACAATGAATGTTAAGAAATTTCTACCAGAAAGATTGTTATGTGAGCGTAGTTTCATTAAACAAGTGTGTTTTTTAACCTGACAGATGTCAATACAATAAAAAACACCATTTTCCTTATGCTTGTAAAACATGTAGGTTTGTTGAAATCTGTTACTTTCCTTTTGTATGAAGAAAATAGTAGGAAAACTAATTTTTAAACTACCAGTACTTTTTTGCTGGATAAAACTTTTGGTCATTTTCTATTTCCAACACCATTTCACTAGATACATATATCATTGTAAAGCACACAAAAGCATAGAAAAAGATTTACTGTTTTAACATGAGATTTTTGTGTTTACAACTTGTTCAAAATAGTTTATTTGCTGCTCTTTTTGCTACTAAAGCTACTACTAGCACTAGCTTGCTTAGCACTGCTGTCTGCTAGTGCAGAGGAGTCTGGGAAGCTGAGCTCTAGTACTTTAATTGAAGTCTGAGAAGCCAAAGAACTTGTACTGCTGGATGACCTAGAAGAAAGCAGAATACTGTAAATGTAATACAAATTTTTTATATTAATATAGACTCTCCCATTACTGGCAAAAGATACCATAACTACCTAAGAAATCAAAAAGTACATACTAATAGTGCTAATATATTTTAAAAGTGTGACCATTGGTAAATATCAAAAAAAAGGAAAAGAAAACTAATAGTTTCAATAAATACTTCAATAAATGCAGTATATTTTATGTGAGAAAAGTGTTTGCAATTGCAGTCAATTTCTTAGAATCATTAAACATTAAAGGTTTGCAAGATTGTAATGAAAGATGAGGATTTATGGCAGGAGTAATTAAAATGGTAATTAAAAGGATAGTATGTGAAATTTAAGTTGAAGTGGAAGGGGAGAGGCATGCTGAGGAATAAAGTGGTGGGATCATATGTAAACTATCCATACAGTTTTGAAATGCTATGTTTTAAAAATATATTTCATGGCAGTGTAGAGATATTCAGTAGGTACTCAGTGTATTTATGTAGAATATCTAAGTGAAACACTTTTTCCTCATGATATCAACATGAACTAGTGGAACGTAATAAACAATTGCTGACTGTTAGGTAATTGAATTCTAAAATGAACATCATCATTAATTTTTATTTTCTCAACAGAATAAGCATGTTAATTGAAACATCTCTGATAATAGAATTCTGGATAACAATAAACTTCAGAAGGAAAAAATTCATTTCTTTTTTAGTAAAATAAAGCATTATAAAATCAAATCCTGATGTAAAATTTCATGAATGTGGTTTTAATCAGAAAACTCCTGTTTGCTTGTACATCTAAGTTGCCCTTTTGTGGTTTAAAAAAACCTCCCCTACTTGGAGTTCACCCCAAATGCTAACTCCAACCGTCAGATTTCACTCTGTCCTACTGTAATAGCTGATAATCAGCATTTGTGCAATAGTAGATATGAGGACAGCAGCTGAAATCAGAAGGAAAATCTTGGCTCTGTCACCTGCTTCTGTATCTAATCAGTGTCTGACACAGGGAGGCAGTTGAAGTTGAAATGAGCACAGGCTGTGCCCTGGCCAATCCAACAGCTGTGCTTATGGGTAAGTGACTGGGTTCACATGCTGTCAACTGGGGGTTGAGGTTTTTTTTTTTTAATCTTCCACTTACCTAGCTGATAACAGGGAAGTCTGTGAAGCAGATCTAGAACTGTGGCGACGGCCTTTAGTACCAGCTGTAGGTAGTTCTAACCCATTCTGGAATGATATTTAATAGCAAGTCATTACTCCTACTGCATTGTAGAAGAAAAACAGATTTCATTTTATGATGGATGCTATAAATTTTTTCATGAAGTATTAGATTCTTATTAGAGGGTATGTACTACCTGTTGAAAATATGTTTGTAGTATAAGATGGATCTCAGCATTTTCTTCTATGACATCAGCTATCATTTCATCAATGACCTTATGAAATTGTTTAACTTCACGAAGTTTGATGTCTTGTTCTTCTAGCGTTTCATCTTTTGTTCCTTTCAAAAGACGGATTTCTTTTGTGAGTTTTGCGCACTGTTGGCAAACAACAGCCAATTATTATATAAGCCTATTTTCCAGAACTTAAAAATTTTAAAGGATAAAGGAAGATTTGTGTTTACCATTTGGTACATCAAAAAAATGTAAATATGACAGGTCAGTTTTTAAAAGCTATCAATACCTGTTTAGTTACTCTTTCTAATTTTGGCTTTTGCTCCTCAGTTTCTCTACGTAGTTGAAATGAATAGGCTTGCTTCTCTGATAGTTTTTCTTGGACATTATTTGTTAAATGTTCTATGACTTCTAAAGTATTTTCCATGCTCTGCAGAAATAAAGTAATAACATACTTAACTGGTTTTAACCAAAAGCTGATTTTTATTGCTTGCTCCTGTGATTTGAATATGATTTATTCCCCTAAACTCATGCAGGATTTTAATCCACAAATCATATGTTAATGGTAGTAAGAGGGTAGAAACAATGCAACTCTGCTGTTTAGAGCTGGGGGTCTTTAGAACATGTTTAGATTTAGATAAGGTCAATAGAGTAAAGTTCCTATGGTTGAATCCTAGCGTCTTTGTGAGGAATGACATACCCAACACAGTACAGGCATGTGTGCTCCCTGTCCTTTGCTATGAAATGTCATGCGCTACTTCAGGACTCTGCCACCGAGAAAGCCACCAGCAGATCTGAGCCAATGCCAGAACAATGCCCTTGAACCTCCAAAACTTTGACCTGAATAAACCACTTTCCAAAAAGTGGGCTTGCCTCAAGTATTTCATTATAGTAATGAAAAACAGACTAATATGCTTGCCATTTGTCATTTAATTATTTATTTCTCTATATAATGCATGTGCACTTTTCAGTAGATAATAGATATAATGGTTTTATGGATTAAGTTTTGTATATTATTCCACTGGGAAGTATTCTTATGTTACTTGGAGAAAAAAATGATAGACATGGTGACTATTGAAAGCACGCAGTTTTCAAAGATTCACAATTCATATCTTTCTTCAGCTTTATTTGTTTAAAAATATTTTTATATAGTGACTGTGTTCTTTTGTCTACCAGCAATTTTTAGTAACTACTTTCTACTTTATTATATTTACCTTTTAAATTTTGTTTTATAGAGCAATACAACTTTTATAGAATAAAAGTTCATTAAAATAGGTCATAATTAGCTAGCTATGGTATGTCAACCAAGTACAAGTAATTGTCAGGGTCTAGCATTGAGATTTTAACTAATTAATACTTGGGTCACTTATTTTTCTCTCCTTTAAATGAGACTATTATCTGTCTTACAGTCTACTTACCTGAAAAGGTTCTCTAAATAACTACCTTCTTTGTGCACACTCGAGAGAGCAGCTGTAGTATATTGGTAGTTAACTTTTATTGAGGGCTTATTTAGAACTCTTAGTATTTACCTGTATATCTTCTTGAAGTTCTCTGATTTGTCTTTGTTTGTATCTGTATTTTTCATCAACAGCTCGTTTTTGTTCTTCTAGTTGAATTTTTAGCTCATACTCATCACCTAGAATTCAGAAATTTTTAGTATGAGCTTTCAACATACTATTTAGAGAACAAAGTATTGCGTATATAGTATTCAACATCTAATTCTTTATGAAAGGTTAAATTCCTTGTATCTCTTGAGGGAAAATTATATGGTCATATAGTACCTATTTTGCCAACAAAGAGCAGCAATATGCTGCATTTTTAACAAATTTAAAATTCCCTAGAAAAGTAATAAACCATACCCCCATAATGTAGTCATATCTTAGCAGACTACTTCAAATAAAAAAGAGAGTGGGGAAAAAGGTTGAATTGTGTTTGACCCAATAGGATAATTTTGCTATCCATGTCTTATAAAGTTGTTCCTTTTCTTTATGTATACAGCTTTCATTGTATATATTTATTTTTAAAAATTTAACACCAACATACTAGAAGGGGTCACTTTTTTAAAAGATTGTTTATAATTGTTGTTGCAGTTTTTCAGTACTTGCAAGGTGTTTTCTAGAGCAAAGATTTCTTTTTCAGCTTTGTTGATCTTAGCATCCAAATTGTCACCTTCTCTTTGAAGTTCTTCCTTTTGTTGAGCGGCCTATGAAGTACAGAATAGAAAAGTTACTAGCATGGGAGGAATTGTCTGTCTTTGGGGCAGAAAATAGTTAATTCCAACAATGCTAGTTTACTGTAGGGCCTATATACAGCAGGCATTTATTTATTTATTTGTTTGTTTGTTTATTTTATTTTATGGGATACCGAGGATTAATCTGCACCACAGCACTGTTCCCCCCACATTTACTTTTAAATTCCAAAATTATGATTCCATCTGCTTTTGAATCAGATTACATAATGCAGAGTTTTATTTTGGGTTAAAATAGCTGGTATTTAGAAGAAATTTTTATAAACTTCGACATTTCAAAACATTTTCAAGTACTTTAATTGGAAAATTCCATTAATTATGATGAAAACTAGACTATTTCATCATAAAGACTAAGAGGAAATTGGAAATGAGATTTGAAAGATGCCAGTCCTTCTTTGATTACTGATTATATTTTTCAGTCTGGCCTTTAGTAGTCAAATATCATAAGATACTAGGGTTGGCAAAGAAAAAAGACATTGGTGTTCCATACACCAAGGGCATTGTAGGACCAAAACAGAGCCTATGCGTTGAACTGTGTCCATAGCAGGGGGAAAAAAATAAATTGAGGTCCTAACCACCATGCCTCAGAATGTGACCTGATTTGAAAATAGGGTCTTTGTAAGTGAGGTCACGTTTACATGAGGTTACTAGGGCAGGCTTTAATTCGATATAGCTGGTAGACTTAACAAAAACAGGAAAATTAAGCAGACATGACATGGAAGGAAAGCTGTGTGAAAAGACAGAATGGCACATGAAGTTAAAGGCAGACACAAGGGTGGTGCAACTACAAACGAAGGAACAGCAACCACCAGCAAACCACCAGAAGGTAGAAGAGAACAGATTCTCCCTCATAGTCCTCAGAGCAAACAAACCTTGCCAATACCTTCCATCTTGGATTTCTAGACTTGAAAAGTACAGCACAATAAATTCTGTTTAAACCATCTAGTTTGTAATACTTTTGTTAGGGTACCCATAAGAAATTAGTTAAAGGAGCCAGCAAATTTTCTTTGTAAAAGCAAGATAGTAAATATTCTGGGTTTTCTGTGCCATTCACTGGTTTTAAAACTACTCAGCTTTTATCATTGTAGTCTGAAAACAGCCATAGAGAATACTTGAATGAGAGATGAGTGTATTATGTTTCCCAATAATTAACAAAACAAGTAGACAGTATTTGGACTGGGTCCAGTTTTCTGGTCCCTGATCTATAGTGTGCAGAAAACAACACTGGCTAGTACTGTTTGTAGCCCTTACCCAGAACTATATACATACATGTATGTGTCTATCAGGAAAGATCCCTTTCTGGAGAATGTAGGGAAGGGAGAGAATCTTGAGTTTGACTAAATCCTAAATCACCACATTGAGAAAATTAGCAAGTTTAGGGTTTTTCCTTGCTACAAAACTGCTCAAGTATTATTTCCAAAAGGTCAAACAGTCTGGTAAAAATATTAATGAACACATGTCAAAGATGTTATTGAGCTTATAACTAAGCAACTAGTAAGGTATTCAAAGAACTGAAAATTTTCATATATGGACATGCAGCCTCAAAAAGATGCTGAAATTAACTTGCCAATAGATACAAAATTAATATTTTTTAGGGAATACATACTGATGCTTGGATTATCCTACAAATCCAAAAGTGATTAAATTATTCTAAGATGTATTTGTGTTGCTATCAGCTAATCTATAAGTTATTATCCCTACAGAGTTATAAGTCAATAGAATGTCAAAGGCATGCACTCCCACAGGATCGAGTAATCCTAGAGAACCTGCTAGAAAATACCAAGACTTTGATGTCACCCTGCAGTAGCATCATTACACCCAGTGATTGCTTTTCAGGCCATAGATAATTCTTTGTGAAAAAAACTAGACTGAGTTTTGTTATAAAGCTTTATTGTTACACATCTGCAAATTACAAAGTCTTATGAGAAAAGGCTTAAATATGCTATATAACAAAAAACTGAAATAACTGGGGCAAGCTATGGATAACAGAGAAGACCACATAAAGAAGTCTGGCATCAGGAAGTTGAGAATGGTAACTGATAGCCTCAATTCAGTTAATATATTCTTGATACTGATATTTATCTGGCAAATTCATTGTAAAAAGGAATGCTCTATCATAAAAAACTTGTGAAGTAGGTTAATAAGCCTTATTACAGCAATAGTGATAATTAACATTAATTGAGGACTCACTTTGTGCCAGGCACTGTCCTAAGGGCTTTACGTAGATTGTTGCATCCACGTCTATCAAGTTATGATCCTCATTTTGCAAAGATAAAGTTACATAACTTGAATTCAAGATCACCTACCTAGTTGGTGGTAAAACTAGGATATGATCAAGGCACTCCAAATACTAGTAATTTTAGGTAGCCCACCACAGCCCTTGTTGACTGAGAAGCTTAATTGGAATTCCAACATCTACCTTTCCAACCCCTAAGAGTCTGCAGCCTTTCCTTCACCCTTTAGGAAACTTTAAAACCTGAAGGAGGAAAAGTCCTATTATTCCTGGGCAGAAGCCTGAGGCAAATACAGGTTGACAAACTACAAGAAAGCTTTGACACCTGGAACTGATTTCTCATAACTTAGAATGTCCAGGGCCAAAGTGACAACCATCACATTTAGTGCATATGTTAGGGGCATACTTGAAGAAAGGCTACAATTCAGGAGGTTAAGGAGATAGGTAAAAGAGGGGAAGTGGGGTTGGTGTCGTGGTGGCATAGTGCATAAAACTGCCTCCTGTGGCTCCAGCATCCCATATGGGTGCTGGTTTGAGTCCCAGCTGCTCCACTTCCAGTCCAACCTCCTGCTAATGCGCCTGGCAAAGCAGCAGAACATGGCCCGAGGACTTAGGGCCCTGCAGCCTCGTGGGAGACCCAGAAGAAGCTCCTGGTTCCTGGCTTCAGATTGGCCCAGCTCTGTTGCGGCCATTTGGGGAGTGAACCAGAGGATGGAAGGTCAGTTGATGTCTCTCTGTAACTATGTTTCAAATAAATAAGTCTTTAAAAAGAGGCAGTGGGGTGGGAGGAGAACATCACCAGGGCTGTCCTCTGAAGATGTGAAGTGAGAGATCTCAATCCTATCCATGTACAGGACAATGAGTCACAGAATTTCCATTCCTCCTTTGTAGTGTTTTGAGTAATTTCCCAGACCTTTCCATAATGGAAATTACACTTGCTAAACGTGCTTTCTGCATGGGAGAATTAATGCCACCACAGTACTAATGAAGGAATTTCTCTCAATTCTTGATCACTTCTGAATTTCCCTTAATGAGTTACTAGGTGAAGACAACCGTGGGATGGCAAACAACTCTGGAACACGAAAGTTTCACCTGATATCTCTTTCATGTATGATGGGAGAAGAACAGTACACTTCCTCTCTGAAGAACTGCCATACCTGGACTGAAGTGGCATACTGGACTTTAACATTCAGAGGTGGTATAGCTCCAAAGTGTGATGAGGTCCAGGGTATTGTATAGCTATAGTGAAGTCAAGCTTTGACACTGAACAGCAAGCCACCCTGAGTGATAACAGGCTTTAGAGTAAAACAGATTATGAATGTTAACTGAGGGAAAATGACATGACACAAAATAGCCTAAAAGGAATGTCTAAGAATGATCAAGTAGAATGACCCAAACTCAAATGAAGGGTTTTGGAGCAAGTTAGCTGGTTTTGGGCACTGGAGGGTAGTGAATGTTCCGACCACTTCAACTGGAAGTGTATAGCCTAGTAGTGCTTCAGTCAGCTTCAGCTAGAAACTAATGTTCTGGCTCTTATTAAGTGCAATAGTTAATGACCCTAATTAAGTGAAATAAATAGTTGCTAGATTTTATGGGGTAAGGAAAGGGGTGGGGAGGATGCCATTTTGGTTCTTTTAAATCCAGAGGCTTATACTTCATACTATCACAACTGTAAATCAGTTAACATTACCTTTATTACATAATAGGCCTGTGTTTTCTCCTCTTCTCCTTCAGGAGGCATCATAACAACAGTAAGAATCTCATATCTGTTCTTCAGCTTATCAATTTTACTTAGTCGCTCATGATACTCAGCACTAATATGAAAAGAAAACAATTAAAAAAACCACACAGGGAAAAACACTTCTCATGTTCTTATTTAAGACATTTGGATTTGTGTTACTGTCAAACAGGTTAAATGTGTTCTCATTTTTTAAAAAAGATCTGTTTAATTGAAGTTGCACAGAGAAGGAGAGACAGAGTTTCCATTCACTGGTTCACTCCCCAGATGGCAACAATAGCCAGTGCTGGGCTAGACCCAAGCCAGGAGTCAGGAGCTTCATTTGGGTTTCCCACATGGGTGACAGGGGTCCAAGCACTTGGTCCATCTTCCAGTGCTTTTCCCAGGCCATTATCTGGGAGCTGGATCAGAAGTAAAGCAGCCAGGATAGGAACTGGTGACCATATGGGATGCCAATGTTAAAGGCAGAGCTTTATCTGCTACACCACAACACCAGCCCCTCATTTCATATTTAATAATCACTATAAGGGGTCTCAAATTCTACCTGCCATAGATTCATGGATGCTGGCAGAAGACAGTTTTTCTGCAGCAGGGATAAATGGTTATTAGTCGTGAAGCATCAAGTATCATGAGTTTCTTTTTTGCCCCCTCATCGGTTGGGGACAAAGAGGGATTCAAATGAATGTTGCACACACAGTAATTCAAATGACAGGTGAGGAGTCTCAAGTTTAAGTAACTGAAATATTTGATAATGAAAAATAAGCAAACATGTCAAACTTTTGCTCCAGAGAGTTTTTCAAGCTGTGTACTATAAAAACATGTTCTAAAAGATAATGAACAACAGGGCAGTGAGTGGTTCTCATTGCAAGGCAGACAGAAATATGAGAAACTAATGGCAAATTGTCTCCCAACATTCAGATTTCTAAATTTTTTGGTTCCTTTTTTATTAAGTTTATATCTGAGCTATCTTTAGAACTTGATTAATAACAATACTAATGCTAATATATGCATGACAATATGGAAAGTGATGCATTTGTCCAGTACAACCTCATGAAAGTCAGCCATCCAAACTTCCAGTTTTCCTACATTTAGAGAAAACCAATGGCAAAATATATTTAGTGTCAGAAGTTATTTTTTTATTTTTAATTATCACTGTTGTTTCATCAGAAAATATTCACTCATCCTTTACATGATTATAAAAGACTTTCTGGCCTACAAGCTTAAGATGATGGATTGAGTATAAGTATATCTCTCCCCTTTCTGAGTTTGAAAAAAAATGTAATAGCTTTGGGAAAAAAAGAATTTTTTTTTCATGAACTTCTGGAAAAATAGAAACCAGAGGGATAAGATTAATGGGGAAAAATATATAGAAGCAAGAGCAGTTTTCTACTACTGAAGTGAAAAAAATCCAAACTCAGAAATGACAAAAAGAGCAAGAGTAATCTGTGAGACTGCTGTCAATGGGTGGCTAATGAGAGTTGTCCACAGAAAATTTGGGTCACTCCCCTCTACCCTTCAAAGTAAACAGGATTGTTGACATGAATGATATCTACTTTGCTGGTAATCTAAAAGTAACCAGAATTCCTGGTATGTATGTTGGAGCTAGAGTGAGAAGTGAAAACAGACGTACTATTTCCAGGCTTTCACAACAGTGGAAATAAGTTTTAAAAAGCAGTTCTATCTGGGAATAAAATAAAGTCTTCATCATTCAAATAAGTATTTCTTAACTTTTTGTAACTAATAACTGCCTAATACATCTCAATGGTCCTTATGTGACAAGTTAGCCTGGACCCCATTTCAGGGAGAGATCTGTTGGAGAAAGAGATCTATCTAATTCAGGGAAGACCCTTACCGGCAGATCTGTCAATATCCGCTGATTGTTAATTAAGCATTTATTAATAAATACAAACCAAAAGCCAAGCATCATCATATATGGAAAGCCAACAGAATGAATGGAAAAAAAAAAAATAAACAAGGAACAGACCCTGGGAAAAACAGAGATAAGCAGAGAATAAAGCAGAAGTTTCAAAGTATTTAATTAGTACCCTCTAAAATGTGGAAGGATGTTGCCTCCAAAAACACCTATGAAACAAGATGAGGTGCTATGAAAAGAAAGCAGCTGTGAAAGAATAATTCTTGCAAGTAAATTTTCAGTTTAACATCAGGGAAGAATAAAGATTCAGTTAGTAACATAATGGAGAGACAGAAGCAAGGCAGAGTGGATAGCACTAGGGAGAGAATATCTGAGAAATCAGAATAAAAAGAATAGAACATTGAAAATGAGAGAAAAAACCTGGCTATATCTAGGAGAGCCAAAGTCCACTAAAAATGAGCAACAAATGAGGAAAACAATAAGAACGGTTATGAGGAAAAAATTAAATAGAAAAATATTCCTTGGCTCCAGCGCCGTGGCTCACTTGGTTAATCCTCTGCCTGCGGCGCCAGCATCCCATATGGGTGCCAGGTTCTAGTCCCAGTTGCTCCTCTTCCAGTTCAGCTCTCTGCTGTGGCTAGAGAGGGCAGTGGAGGATGGCCCAAGTGCTTGGGCCCCTGCACCCGCATAGGAGACCAGGAAGAAGCACCTGGCTCCTGGCCTCGGATCAATGCAGCACTGGCCGTAGCAGCCATTTGGGGAGTGAACCAATGGAGGGAAGACCTTTCTGTCTCTCTCACTGTCTGAAGAAAGAGAGAAAGAGAGAAAGAAAGAAAAAGAAAGAAAGAGAGAGAGAGAGAGAAAGAGAGAGAGAGAGAGAGAGAGAGAGAAAAAGAAAGAAAGAAAGAAAGAAAGAAAGAAAGAAAGAAAGAAAGAAAGAAAGAAAGAAAGAAAGAAAGAAAGAAAGAAAGAAAGAAAGAAAGAAAGAAAATATTCCTCTGACCTGGGGAAAGACTTGAATGAAACAACTGCAAGCTCACCAAGGGTCAAGCAAGAAAAGCAAAAAATGACAAAACACTCAGACACATCTGAGGAAATTACGAAAAATCAAGGATAAAGAGATTGTCTCAAAGCTTCCAGAAAGAAAACAACAAAAACAAATTCCTCATTTTATTATTAAATTCAATTAACCTGGAACCAGAGACTGCCCATAAATAATATTTTAATCCAGAAGAATATAATCAGTGGTTTTAACAATACATGAAAATTGGGGAGAGGAAATGTTGAAGTGAAATGTGCTAAGACTCTTCTTTAGGAAAGAAAATTAATCTTCAAAATTCAGAGAATTTGAAATATTAAAAATATAAAACTTCCGCCGGCGCAGCGGCTCACTAGGCTAATCCTCCGCCTTGCAGCGCCGGCACACCGGGTTCTAGTCCCGGTTGGGGCGCCGGATTCTGTCCCGGTTGCCCCTCTTCCAGGCCAGCTCTCTGCTGTGGCCAGGGAGTGCAGTGGAGGATGGCCCAAGTACTTGGGCCCTGCACCCCATGGGAGACCAGGATAAGCACCTGGCTCCTGCCATCGGATCAACGTGGTGCACCGGCCGCAGCGCGCCGGCGGCGGCAACCATTGGAGGGTGAACCAACGGCAAAGGAAGACCTTTCTCTCTGTCTCTCTCTCTCACTGTCCACTCTGCCTGTCAAAAAAAGAAAAAAGAAAAAAAATATAAAACTTCCAAACAACAAGAGAGAAAGAGAAAATGAAATTTAGTAAAACCAATGAAAGAAGAATAAGTATGGGCTGGCACTGTGGTTCACTAGACTAATCTTCTGCCTAGTGGCGCCGGCACACCAGGTTCTAGTCCCAGTCGGGGCGCCAGATTCTGTCCCAGTTGCCCCTCTTCCAGGCCAGCTCTCTGCTGTGGCCCGGGAGTGCAGTGGAGGATGGCCCAGGTCCTTGGGCCCTGCACCCCATGGGAGATCAGGAGAAGCACCTGGCTCCTGGCTTCAGATCAGCGCAATGCACCAGCCACAGCGCGCCGGCTGCAGCGGCTATTGGAGGGTTAACCAGTGGCAAAAGTAAGACCTTTCTCTCTGTCTCTGTCTCTCACTGTCCACTCTGCCTGTCAAAAAAAAAAATTTAATTTAAAAAAATAAAAAAAAAAAGAAGTATGGCAATTTCTTAATGTTTCTTGAAAAGTTATGTACCTACCCTAAGACCCAGCAATTCTACTCCCAGCTATTTACTCAAGAGAAAAGAAAGCATATGTCCTTACCAAGAAAACATATGTTCATAGCATATTTGTTTATAAAAACTACAAACTGGAAATAAATGTTCATCAGCAGGTAGATGTATAAACAAATTGGAGTAAACATATTCAATGAAATAGTTCTATTAGCAATAAAAAGCCAGAGTCAGCAAACCATGCTGCCTGCCACCTGTGTTTGTAAGCTCACAAGCAAAGGATGGCTTTTATGAAAAATAACAAAATTAATTTCATGAAAAATGAAAATTATACAGGAATTCAGTTTCAATGTCTATACAGTTTTACTGGAACACAGCATGATCACTGCTGTCTGCTTTCACTGTACAATGACAGGGCTGAGTTACTGAAACAAGAACTACCATATTTATCATCTAGCCCTCATATATAAATTGTACCAACTCCCATTAAAGAGGAGTGTATTATTGATATATACAACATGGATGAACCTGAATTACTCTGAATAAAAGAAGCCAGAAAACTGAAAAGTTCCTACTATTGAATTCCATTTATACGAAATTCTTAAAAATGCATTCTAAACTATCCAGATAAAAAGCAGATCAGCCATCATCTGGTATGGGTATATGCGAAGGCACAGGGGTGGTGAATATCCAGCACCTGGGTCATATAAAGCCCATGAAATCAGTTGGTCTGGCTCTGCCAAGGCAACCGCAGGCAGGACCCAAATTCAATACATCTACAGCAGGCTAATTTTTAAGTTGATAATTTTGTATGACCCATGAATGATGTTATAAAAATCCAAATGGCCCTTGACAGAAAAAAGGTTCCCACCCCAGGACTAGAGGGAAAAATCAGAATGGGAAATTTATGGGAATGATGGATATATTAACTATCTTGATTGTGATGATGTTTATCAAAATGTATCAACTTATATCAATTATATCTCAGAGTATTTTAAAATAAAATTTCAACGCGACAATGAAAAGCAGGAAAGATAATAAAGAAAATAAGAATTTAACTTTTGTGGAATGCAGCTAAAACAATATTTAGATGGACATTTTTAGGCTTCAAAGCTTAAAGTTAATAAATGAAGCATCTATCTCAAGATATTTTTTTAAAGAACATTAAAAATACCGCACAAAAGAAGGAGCAATAGTAAAGATGAGGTCAGAAGTTAATGAAATAACATATACATGTACACTAGGAAAGATCAGTGAGTGGACTGTTTTCAAATACTGCTGGGGCTGGCACCGTGGCTCACTTGGTTAATCCTCCACCTGCAGCGTCAGCATCCCAGATGGGTGCCGGATTCTAGTCTCGGTTGCTCCTCTTCCATTCCAGCTCTCTGCTGTGGCCAGAGAGGGCAGTGGAGGATGGCCCAAGTACTTGGGCTCCTGCATCCCATGGGAGACCAGGAGAAGCACCTGGCTCCTGGCTTCAGATCGGCGCAGCACTGGCCGTAGCGGCCATTTGGGGAGTGAACCAACGGAAGGAAGACCTTTCTCTCTGCCTCTCCCTCTCACTGTCTGTAACTCTACCTGTCAAATAAAAAAAAAATAAATACTGCTAAAAATTATTTAATGGTGTAGGTGTTCGGCATCGCAGTTAGGACATCACTTAGGATGCCCACATCCCACCCTGAAGTGCCTGCGTTCAAGTGTCATCTCCACTTCCTACTAATGCACACCCTGACAGACAGCATATGATGGCTCAAATTCTTGGGTCCATGCCACCCACAGGATAGATCAAGACTGAGTTCTGGACTCCTGTCTGGCTGTTGCAAGCATCTGGAGAGTGAACCAGCAAGTGGAAAATTTCTGTATGTCTTAGCTCTATCTGTCTCTCTGCATTTAAAAATTGTTTTAAAAAAGATTAACTTCTCTAAGATTTATACCACCCCAAAGAGAGAAGGCACAAATAACCAATATGAGGAATGAAAAAGGATAATCTCTACAAATACAACTGTTTATAATAAAATGATATTATAAGCAATGTTTTGGCAATAACCTTGAAAATTTGGGTGGGGATTTTTTCCTGGAGAAAAGTGTACTTCACCAAACTAATCAAGACAAAATAAAAAATCTGCATTGTCTCATAAGCAATAAATAAACCAATAGCTGCAAATCTCCCATAGAAAACTCCAGGTCCTCAATGGTTTTACCAATGAGATTTTTGAAAATAACAAGATAAAAATCTACTCTTCTACAAGTTTATCTAGAGTATAGAAAAATAAGAAACATATCATTTTATGAAAGTAGATGTAATTTTAAAAACCTGAAAAGGGCAGTAGGACAAGGAAAACCATGTTGTTTATACACGTGAGCATAGTATAAAAATTATATAAAAATATTTTGAATAAAATATATGTATACAAAAGATAATATATGGAAGACAAGTTGGGTTAATTCCAAAAATATAAGGTTGAAAACTTTGGAAAATCAGTCAAATATAATGCTTAACATATATTAAAGGAGTTACAGTATAGCAATGAATGCAAAGAAAGCTTATAACAGAAAACTACAGCAAACTTCTTAATGATAAAACAATGAAAGCTTTCCCTTTGAGATCAGGCACAGACAATGGTACTTGTAATTGCCACTTATATTCATTATCGAACTGGACATCCTAGCAAACACAATAGAAAAAGAACAGTTATAAAGATAAGAAAGAGAAAAATAAAACTAGTTTTATTCAAAATGACACAAATAAAATACCTAGAAAGAATCTAAGATGCATTGGTAGAGTTTAAGCAAGTTGGCTGAATGTTTAATAAACAAAAATTAGCTGTGTGATATTTCTATATACCATCAACAAACCAAAAATAAAATGGTTTAAAATGCAGTAACATTGACAGTGACATAAAAAATTAACATTCAGGGGCCAGCATTGTGACGTAGCAGGTAAAGCTGCTGTCTGCAATTCCAGCATCCCATACGGGCACCCATTGAGTCCCAGCTGCTCCACTTCTGATCCAGCTCCCTGCTAACTGCCTGGGGAAAGCAGCGGAAGATGTCCCAAGTGCTTGGGCCCCTCCTACCCTTGTGAGAGACCCAGAAGAAGCTCCTGCCTCCTGGCTTTGGCCTGGCCAAGCCCTGGCCATTGAGGCCATCCGGGGAGTGAACCAGCAAATGGAAGACCTCTACACCCCAACCCCCCTTTCTCTGTAACTCTTTCAAATAAATAAATAAATCTTTAAAAAATTTAACCAATAATAATCTTAAAACAAATATGCAAAACTTCTATGAGAAAATGGCTTCAATAAATACAGCTACCAGGTATCTCTAAGGAAAAACATGTTACTGGGTTCTCACCACAAACCATGCCCAAAATCAATTCTAAAGGAATTAAAGATCTTAATGTCAAAGGAGAAACTAATGAGTAAAGACTTAAGCAAAGAAAAGAGTCTAAATACTTATAGTAAAAGCCTTTTCAAACCAATAAGAAAAAGATTAACACCCAGTGTAGAAAAGGGAGCAATCTGTTCTGCTAACATCACCTTTACATTTTCCTTTCAAAAATTTTAGCAGTATTTTAAAACTCTAATAATCACCTTATGCTTTGCCGTTCTTGATCAACATATCTTATTTGTGACGCAAGCATTGCTTTGTGAACCTTGATTTCTTCAGTTCGCTCTTCCATGGCTGTATATAACTGCTGTTTTCTCTTCTCCAGGGAAAGAACTTCTTCTGCCTTACTGTGAAGCATTTCTCGAGTACGCTTAACTTCAAGTTTTAAAAGATTGTCCTCTATCATCAAATCCTACCAACATAAAAAATTGTAAGTACCAAAATCATTATTTTTATAACTAAACCAAAATATTTATTTGTATTGCCAAATATGCCAAACTTGAAAGTATACCTTTTTCTAATTTGGCCAAGAAAATGTGTATGGCTATTTGAAATCAATTTTTATAATTCAATTTTAAATTCAAGCTTTATTTTTTAAAAAAGTTATTCTTAATATTAAAACTTGAAATGTCCAGAAAAATATATAATTCTGCAGATGGACTTTATATACTTTTAACTAAATCTCACAAAATAATGTTGAAGTAAGGTTTTACTTTAAAACAGCTTAGTCGTGAATAGATAAGTACATAACATGATAAATTTTCAGAGAACCCTGAAACAAACACTCAAGAATGGAAGATTTACTCTTTCATAATGGCTCTTCAGTTAGAGAAAAGATTAGATCCCTATCTCACATGTACTGAAAATACATTTCAGATTTTAAAAAAAATGCTTAATGTAAGTCATGGAACCAATGCAACTACCATAAAAACAGTAAACACTGGACTTTTAATGTGACAACTTTCTAAGCATAAAAATTATAAAGGGAAAAAGAAGTTGATATCTTTAAAAGTTCATATCAAAAACACTGAATAAAATTTTAAAAGCAGATGGGGAATATTGAAAACGTGACACTATGACACAAAGATATCTTTACATATGAAAATATTTTACAAAGCAATTTAAAAATATAAACATCCCAATGGCAAAGTGGGCCAAGAATATAAACTCGAATTCCAAAAGTAAAAACTGTGGAGGAGCCAGCACTGTGGCACAGCAGGTTAACACCTTAGCCTGAAGCGCCAGCATCCCATATGGGCACCGGTTCAAGACCCAGCTGCTCCACTTCCGATCCAGCTCTCTGCTTTGTCCTGGGAAAGCAGTAGAAGATGGCCCAAGTCCTTGGGCCCCTGTACCCATGTGGGAGACCCAGAAGAAGCTTTTATCTCCTGGCTTCACATCGGTGCAGCTCTGGCCATTGCGGCCATCTGGGGAGTGAACCAGCAGATGGAAGACCTCTCTCTCTCTGCCTCTCCTCTCTCTGTGTAACTCTGACTTTCAAATAAATAAATAAATCTTTAAAAAAAAAAAAAAAACTATGGAACATAACATAATGAAAAAAATCTTTTAAACATTTTTACTTAAACATCCATGTTTTACATTTTATCTTTAAACAGAATGCTTTTTGAATAATTTAATGTTAATCTTTAAAGCAAAATGTTTTTAAAAAGCACATGTTTAGCCTAGCAATTAAGATACCTACATCCCACATCAGAGTACTGGGGCTTCATACCCACCACTGGCTCCTGATTCCAGCTTCCTGCTAATATAAACCTTGGAAGCAGCAGTGATGGTTCAAGTAGTTAGATTCTTATTACCCACATGGGATACCTGAGTTGCTTTTCTGGCCGCTGGCCTCAGCTGTGGCCTACTCCTGGTGGGCAGATGTGGGCATTTGAAGAATGAACAAGCAAATGGGAACTTGTTTCTCTCTCTCTCTCTCTCTCTCTCTTTCCCTCTGCCTCTCAAATAAATATTTTTAAATAAAATTAAATGTCACCAATTTTGTAAATATAGACTAAAACAATTACAGACCATGTTGGCAACAATTATACAAATTAAAATATCCAGCCTCAGCAGTTGTGACTACAAAAGAATGTGTACACCCTGCTGGTAGGAGTATTATTGGAACCCTCTAGGGGGCAATTGGGCTTTAAAATAGTTTTAAGACACTAAAAATATTCATTTCTTCTTGAACCATATTGTATGGATAGGAATTTATCCCAAGAAATTAATTGAATAATTGTACAATGATATGTGTCCATTGAACACAATAGCACTATTTATAATGGTTAACATGAGAGTGGGGCCGGCACTGTGGCATAGTGGGTAAAGCCACCACCTGCAGTGCCGGCATCCCATATGGGCGCCAGTTCAAGTCCTGGCTGCTCCACTTCTGATCCAGCCCTCTGCTATGGCCTGGGAAAGCAGTAGAAGATGGCCCAAATCCTTGGGCTCCTGTATCTGCGTGGGAGACCTGGAGGAAGCTCCTGATTCCTGGCTTTGGATCAGCATAGCTCCGGCCATTGCAGCCAACTGGGGAGTGAACCAGCAGATAGAAGACCTCTCTCTCTGCCTCTCCTTCCCTCTCTGTGTAACTCTGACTTTCAAATAAATCTTAAAAAAAAAAAGTCAAATGAGAATAAAAGCAAACATCAGAAAACTAGAAGATGGTTAAATAAATCATAGCAACTTCATGAAATGAATTTGTAGGAAAATTTTTAAATATTGTTTAAAGAATAATGTTTTAGGAAACAATAACAATAAAAATTATTTAAATATAACATATAAGTCAATTTTCTTTAAAAGCCTAGAGGGAAATAAAAGTTAACACTGTTTATCTTGGTAAAGTGATTATAGTGACTTATTCTTCACAATTTGCCTTATTCTTAAGATTTTCTACAATTAACATAAAACTCTGGTTTTTAATACTGTGCATTGAATATAATGTTTAGTATACCTGTTTAAGAGCTTTGGTTTTGTTAAGTTCTTTCTCTGATCTGTCAATAAAAAGATTTAGTTCATCTATTTTGGTCATAAGGGACTGTTTTTCATCACAATTTTTACTGTTTGACTTCTTAATAAAGTAAAGATCATTCTGTAAAAAGAAAAAAGTTATATTAATGTATGCTTTGAATAACAATATTAGAAAGACTTCTTAATAAAGATCATTCTGTAAAAAGAAAAAAGTTATATTAATGTATGCTTTGAATAACAATATTAGAAACTGAACGTACTATATAAACATCTTATAATTATATTCTCTTAAATACTTTATTAATCATATGGTTTAATCTCTCATCATGCTATGTCTTCAACTTAATATACATGGAAATTCACAAGAAAATTTTTCATTTTTATTACTTATGTTTAGACTTTAGTTTGAGTTTGGAAAATACAAGTTTATATGTATATATATGCATATATATGGCTCAAGTTCAACATGAATTATTAGGTGATCATCATGTATGAGAAGAGAACATATATTGTGGTGCACTACATGGTTCACCACTCCCATTCTGGAATTCATTGTTTGATTCTATCCAAGCCATAGATGTTAAAAACAAAGAAGTCTGGGAAAGTACAGGGTGCTAGTTAGTACCAACTCTGGAAGCAGATGTTTCAATTACATGTTAGCCAGCCAGCTGTGGCAGGCAACATATTTATCCTTGGTATCCTCATCTCTAAAATGGAGATAAGGACAATTCATACCTTCCTGGGTTGTTGGGAAAATTTTAAAAGCTACTGTCAAAGAGTATAGACAGCAAAGTTTAACACATAGAAGTACCATATAGATGTCAGCTATTATTTTATTAGTATTATATATATATATAATATATATAAAATCACATATTCCCAGAGAGAAAAATATCTGATAAGATCTAATTCCTTCAGATGAATAAATAGGTCCTACCTACCCAGATACCAATTTTCTACTAATTATATACCTCTTCCCACCCGGAATAAGGCTTTGTGCTCTTAGCCCCTTCATAGTTTCTAAATCAAAACTTCCTAGTTCCAAACATCTCTCTCTCTCCCCCTCCCTTCCAGTCTTTTTCATTGCTTGTATTTCTCTGAAGTATCAGGACCTAATATAGCAACAAGACAGAAGAAAATTTTTTACATAAAGATGTGATTTTATAAAATCAAGTTTAGTATTAAGAGTTCATGTGATCATTCAACCTGAAGAAACTGGTGTCGATTTATGTAAAATAGAGATAGAGTGGTATGGGAGAGGGCATACAGAATGACTTTACAATCTGATGCTAGTATTGAAAAGAGCAAATCTTCTAACTGGCTTTAATGTTTTTAAAATTTACTTACATTTCTATTAACTTATTTATCTGTGTGTTTAAACCAGAGTTGGGGCAGGCATAAGCACCAATCAATTGTATAAAGGAGAGAGAGGTCAAGGTGGTTAAAAGACAGAAGAACTATAACCATCTTTACATAGCAAAACAGATATAATCCAAGGAGGGGTCAAGAGACACATTTCACTGTAAAAATCATCCCCATATGACTTCTGTAGCATTAATATTCTCATATGCTAAGTAATAAAATCCACCATTTATTGACTACCTATTGAAAGCACTATTCTAAGGTATACATTGCTTCTAGTTTTCCCAAAAGCCCTAAAATGATTTTCTTCATTTAACAAATGAGTAAACTAGGGCTCAGGAAGTTAAAATGGTACAGTTTTGAAATTCAAAACAGGCTCAATCACTGCCACCCACCTGAGAAATCCAGATAGAGTTCCAGGCTCCTAGCTTTGGCTTAGCTCATCCCAGGCCCAGTGGCCATTTGGGGAGTGAACCAGCAGTTGGAAGATCAATCACTCCACCACCCCCACCCCACCTATTACTCTGCCATTCAAATAAAATAAATGTTTTTTTTTTAAATATAATGGATAAAACGTTGACATGCAACTTAACATTTGTTATTCAGCAAAAATCCACACAACCACCACCAACAGCAGGAAGTCAGATATTGCAAAATACCCCAGAAGCTCCAAGAGCCCCTTCCTGATCACTACTCACCTCCCCTTGAGAGGAGATTACAGCTTTTAATCTATTGATAATTTCTTACTTTACTTTATAGCTTAGCTCCATTTACTCTATGTAAGACTTTAAAATGTTTTGCACAAAATAAATTTACTTTTAATTTCAAAAATAAAGAACAGGTTCTCTCTGATCCAAAAACATGTTATTTTCCAGTAAACAAAAGTAAGAGCTAAAAAAAAAATTCCTTGGACTGTAAACTACTCCAAACCAAAATATGGCCATGTTAAAAGTTTTTAAAAAGGTAACAGCTCCTTTCATCTTAAGCAGCCTTCAAGGAATTGGGGCAATTCTATATATAACCACTAGAGGACGCTCATCACTAGACTTTCCAGCTGTCAAGTTCTCATCCCATTTATGTCCACACTTTCAATCCCTCATTCTTACATTCCAGTTAAACTTTAACTTAAATTTTATAATAATAATAAAAATTCCTAAAGATGAAGAATGGTCCCACATTATTAATAGAATTTAGTCTTTTGGAACACTGCAATTAAATAATATTTGAGTAACAATAAATGACCCATGAAAGAGCAACTTCTATTAGCATTTCAGTGATGGGGCAATCAAATTATTATGGCAGATACATAACAGGAAACTGGAATTCATCAATGTTCTAAATAATCTTAAAATGTAAATTTTAAGTCAAATGGACCAGAGATCAAATCTTAGCTTTCCATGTACTAGCTGTGTAACTTTGGATAAGTTATTTAATCTATAAGACAAATAATAATGTCTTCAAAAGACATTTATAAGGATTAAATGAAAATATTAGAAGCATGTAATACAATATTTAGCTTATAGACAATGCTTGATTCAAAGGTAGCTTTACATTCTGACAGCATAGAAATATGAACCTTGGGGTTGGCACTGTAGCATAATGGGTTAAGCCACCACCTGTGATTCCAAGTATCTCATATGAGCACTGCTTCCAGTCCTGGCTGCTCTACTTCCAATCCAGCTACCTGCTAATGTCCTGGAAAAGGCTATGGAAGATTGCTCAAGTGCTTGGACCCCTGCCATCCATGTGGGAGATCTAGATTAAGTTCTGGCTTCTGCCTGGCCCAGCCCTGGCCATTGTAGCCATCTGGGGAGTGAACCAGCAGATAGAAGATTCTCTCCCTCTGCCCCACCCCGCCTCTCTCTCTCCCTCTCCCTCTGCCCTTTCTTCCCTCTCTGTATCTCTTTCAAATAAATATAATCTTTAAAAAAAATAGCAACATTTTCCATACTTTTTTATGTATGTGGGTAGCTTGGCAATTGGCCTTTGTAGTAAGACTACTGTAAAGTCGTTTTAGGAATAATTTGATTTATAAGAGAATGACTAATAAGTGGGATATCTGAAAGATAAGAAGTTCTTGGGGTAAGTTACATGAAGTTTCTTGATCTGTGTTTCCAAAAGGCCAAATGTAGCTTTCTTCTCTTCCAGTGACTTCTTAAGCTCAACGATTTTTGCTTCAAGGGCTTGTTTTTCCTCTGAATTAATTTCTCCCTTTAGCCGTGACATTCTCCGTTCCACTTGTTGAATATAAAAATCCTGTTACAGTTTTTAAAAAGGAGTTAGTACAAAGAAATAATTAAAAGCACCTTTATAAACATTAAAAAAAAAAACCATAGTGAATACTTTCTTGTAAGTGTGGCTTTGGGGGCCGGCGCTGTAGCTCACTTGGTTAATCCTCCGCCTGCAGCGCCAGCATCCCATATGGGCACCAGGTTCTAGTCCCAGTTGCTCCCCTTCCAGTCCAGCTCTCTGCTGTGGCCCAGGAAGGCAGTTGGGCCACTGCACCCACATGAGAGACCAGGAGGAAGTACCTGGCTCCTGGCTTTGGATCAGCGTAGCTCCGGCCGTAGCAGCAATTTGGGGGGTGAACCAATGGTAGGAAGACCTTTCTCTCTGTCTCTCTCTCACACTGTCTAACTCTATCTGTCAAATTAAAAAAAAAAAAAGTATGGCTTTGATGTCATCATTTAATATGATCACTTTAATCCTTCATTAATTGAAGACAAAATCCTTCTCACTCTAAGGGGAGCAACAACAACCTATCCTTCAATAATCAGAGTGCATAACAGTGCCACAGAAGAAATCTGACAAGATAACAAAATCAGGGAGTTTTAACCCTATTACCACAATGGAACCTCACACTAAATCCACTGGATTTATATGGACATGGCTTTTTGAGGGTACATGTATTTGAGGGGGATGCAAAAAAGACAGTCACAAATTATTAGCTATGAAATATTCAAGCATAATGAACTTCAAATGAATTTTGTAATTATACTTTAGCATTTGTAATTTTGACAAAACAATAGGGATAGGGCATTATGGCATTGCAGATTAAGCCACCGCTTGGCACACTGCCATCCCATATAGGAGTGCCTGGTTCGAGTGCTGACTACTCCATTCTTCTCATCCAGATTCCTGCTACTGCTCCTGGGATGGCAGTGGATAATGACCCAGGTGCTCGGGTAACTGCCACCAATGTGGGAGACCTACATGGAGTTCCTGACTCCTAGCTTCAGCCAGGTCTAGCCTTGACAACAGGCATTTGCAGATGTGAACCAACAGATGGAAGATTCTCTCCTCTCCTCTCTCTCTGTTTCTGTCTCTGTCTCATCCTCTCTCTCTGTTACTCTGCCTTTCAAATTAAAAAAATAAATCTTTTTTTTTTTTTAAGGAAAAAAGAAAAAAGAGGGGCTGGGCTGGTGCTATGGTGTAGTGGGTTAAGCAGCTGCCTGTAGCACAAACATCCCCCATATGGGCCTGGTTCGAGTCCCAGCTGTTCCACTTCTGATCCAGCTCCCTGCTAATGAGCCCGAGAAGGCAGTAGAAGATGGCCCAAGTTCTTGGGCCCCTGTCACCCATGTGAGAGACCAGAAGAAGCTCCTGGCTCCTGGCTTCATCTTGGCCCAGCCCCAGCAGTTGTGGCCATTTCTGTGAATCAGCAGATGGAAGACCTCTCTGTCCCTTCCTCTCTGTAACTCTGCCTATCAAGTAAATAAAATAAATCCTGTCTTTTGCAACAAAATTGATGTACCATATTTAGTGAAATAAGCCAATCCCTAAAAGAAAAATATCATATGTTTTCCCTGATTTGTGTTAACTAAAATAAAGTACAAAAAAATGTAATGTGTGTGAGGAACACTGACGTTTTGAATTCGGCAATTGTTTATAGCCTTTGTCTCTACTGCTGAGAAACAGTGTTGTTTTCTGCTTATGATTTGTTGAATTCTTTACTTGGTGTAGAATTAATCTTATGAGTATAAAATAGACTGAAAGCAGATCATTGTAAAAATTCAAAGAACGGGTTTTGCACTGTGGTGCAGTGGGTTAACGCCCTGGCCTGAAGCGCCGGCACCCCATATGGACGCCAGTTCTAGTCCCAGCTGCTCCTCTTCCGATCCAGCTCTCTGCTATGGCCTGGGATAGCAGTAGAAGATGGCCCAAGTCCTTGGGCCCCTGCACCCTCATGGGAGACCTGGAAGAGGCTCCTGGCTCCTGGTTTCAGATCAGCACAGCCCCAGCTGTTGCGGCCACCTGGGGAGTGAACCAGCAGATGGAAGACCTCTCTCTCTGTCTCTACCTCTCTCTGTAACTCTGTCTTTCAAATAAATAAAATAAATCTTTAAAAAAAATTTCAAAGAAAGAATAAGGAAGGAAGGAGGGAGGGTGGCAGCATAGACAGGAGGGAGGGTGGGGGAAAGTATCACTATGCTCCTAAATCTGTACATATGACATACATGAAATTTGTTCACCTTAAAAACTAAGAAAATTAATAATTTTTAAAATAAAAAAGAGAAAACAAAGGATACATCAACTGAGGAAATTAGGATATGGAGATAAATGACTTTAAGAATTAATCTGAATATTGAAACCAGTGATGAGGCATAAAGGATAAAACCAACACCTGCGCTGGTTCATATCCCCACTGTTCCACTTCTGATTCAGGTGCCTGCTATTGTGCCCGGGAAAAGCAGTGGAACATGGCCCAGGTACTGTGCCCCTGCCACACATAGGAGATCTGGATTAAGCTCCTGGCTCCTGGCTTCAGCCTAGCCCAGTCTTGACCATTGTGGCCATCTGGAGAGTGAACCAGTGGATGAAAGACCTCTCTCTCTCTCTCTCTCTCTCTCTCTCCTCTTCTCTCCCTCTCTCTGTTACTCTTTCAAGTAAATAATTTTTAAAAAAATAATTGACCTGAATATATAAATAGAAGAGAATAAGGAAAAACCAAAAAATACTATTGCCCTGAGGGTAGAGATGTGGGTGCCTGTTTGCACAACTAAGGTTCAAACCTACAATTTCTCTAAGTCTCCTCTATCCTACACCTTCTTTTGTTTTACTCTGGGTCCAGTTGCCCTAGATTCCTTTAAATCATGGTTCTCCCTCAGTAGAGTTGTTCATCTTCTTGCCCATTTATCTCAGATGGGAAAAAATCGCAATTAAAGCTCCTCCCCCCTACTACTGATCTGATCTGAGAGTCCACTCTCTGCATCTATCCTTTGGGAAGAGTGCTTACAAACCTTTCTCCTAGGATATTGGAGTATATTGATCATCACAACTACAACAAATTAATAGGGAACATAGCCACAAAAGCACCACCTTACCTGACTGTACATAATTTCTTGCTGCTTCAACGTTTCAAAATCCAGTCTATGTAATTGATTATTTAGATGTTTCAGAGAGGAACGGGTTCCTTCAATTTCTGACATAACAGCTTTTTCTTTCATTTTCTCTGTCTGTAACTCCTGAACCTTCTTAAACAGCACATCTTTCACTATGTTCAATTGAACTTCCACTTCCTAATAATAAGAATGGCAGTGGTTAATGAAATTATGATATCTTGAAATGTTTTATTTAAGTGAACATTATAATTTGGAGCTCATAAATAAACTTGAGCCCTTGTTCTCAACATTGCAGCCCTTAAGAATATAAAGGACTCCCCCTCAATTTCAACAAATCTTCCAATATTTCTTGTCGTAACTTTTTTTCTGGCAACTTTATTATAATGCACCTTGACCAATCATCTTAATTCCAGCCCACATTGCTCTAGCCTCAGAACTTGGCCATTTCATTGGTTTCCTCAGAAAATAAAATCTGCTGTAGACATGCTTGTAAGTTCACAAAGTATTCTCAAGTCTAGTGGGCTTTGCGGAGAAATCACATCATCAACGACTTACCATCTTTTGAGTACTATCTCAAAAAAAAAAAAAGTTGTGAGATCCCTGCTGACAATCTTTTTCATTATGTATTTTAGATAATGTATTCAAAAAATTCAGAAGTTTATAATGTTCCCTGACATCAAAATGTCTAATTGAAATGAATTTCACAGTCCCATCTCCAGTGCTTCAGGAAAGGATGCTCTTGGGGGGAAAAATACCTATTTTTAAAATACTGCTGTACAATTGGGACTCAAATACCATTCAAGTTAAGATTGCTACATAATTCATTACTCAGCAATTACCCAGAAAACTGAGGAAGTGGGACTCCATCCAAGTATAAATGAAATCCTATTTCATACAAGTCTCAGAAAGTATCTAGGGACTTTGTCCCCCATCTTCAGCTATCCTTGTCCCCACCCCTAAAAAACGGTAAAAGCAAGAAGTGATGACCATGGTGCCCAGTCACACTTACCTGTAATCATTTTTAACTTTCTAAGGAGGAAATGGTAAAGCAGCCTTTTTAGTTCCCCAAAACTTGGCTTTAACATTGCTACCTATATGTCAAAAAGCTTGAGGTAGAAGGGGAAATGCCAGCTGAGTTAGGAAAGTGATAGCATTTCAGAGCCCATTTCCTCAAAAAACTGATGCCAGGTTATAAAGGGTTAAAGAGAAAATTGATGATGAAGAAATATGGATAGTGAATGTAGATCACCAGAGGAATCTGATCACAAATGAAAACATAAAATGATCATCAAATAGAAACGAGTTGTAAAACAAGGGCACTTTTCAAGGTACGTATACAATATACATTCAGATGTATGAATGATGGCAGGGTCGTGGGCACAGTAGGCATAGGGAAAGAATGGAATTCAGGGCACAGTGAAAGGGCTACCTTCAAAAGGAAACATCAAAGTTAAATGCTGAAAGTAGAGCAAGTAGAGAATTAGTAGCTTTGGAGAGGAGGTTGAGAATATGTTCTGAAGCAACTTATAAAAAGAGGTCTAAAACTAGAATAACAATGTAATCATACCAAAAAGACATAAAAAGAGGTCCAAAATTATAAATGCGCTCATACCAAAGAAAAGCCTCTTACAAGGCCTTTTAGTCCTCTGATCCTAAGTCTAATTAATTCACACTTGTTGAACTTGTTACAAATTTCTAAAAATTAAAAGCACTTTACCTTTGCACCTTTTTCCTCCTCCTTTAGCATATCTTCCATATTGGTAGCTTTCTCTTCTACAGACATGGTTTTCTCAGTAATCTGCTTTAATTTTTTTTGTATGATGTTATTATGATTTTTAATTTTCTGTAACCTGAATAGGATTTATGAGGAAAAGATAGAAAATACGCCTTCAAAGTTCTTAATGAAAATAAAGTATGGTTTATCCTAAGATTTCTTTATATAACTTGAAAGTTGCTTTTGCTATAAGCCTTTTGTTATCATTGTGCATTAATAGGTCATTAAAATACTGCTTCTGAGTCCTTGTGATAAAAAAAAACAAATATTTTTAGTTACAATTTTGCAAGAGATTATTCTTCACAAAAAGTGCTAAGTAGTTAATGATTTTCTAGAAGAAATTCTAAAAACCATCAACATTTTTAAGTATCTTTTTTCTTACCGTGTTGTTTCTTCATGAATATCCTTCTTTATTTTGGAAATGTTTTTCCTCAGAGCTTCTAAATCGCCAGAAGTTCTGTTCACCATGGCTTTCAAAGAATCCAGCTATTTATTATTTAACAGATAAAAAGTATATATTTACTCTATATCATATCATTTCATTTCTGGGAAGGTCTAGTCTTCCCACTTTAAGTTTCAATCTATATAACATCTATAAAGATAGTAACCATTTTTCTATAATCAGTATACATTAACAGATTTTCTTATTGACCTGCTATCAAACTTTAAATGGTTTTGTTTTATCATATTGGCAAACTATAATTATCTACATATATATTGAAAGAAAATGCAAAAACATCTGTTATCACTAGACCTATTCAGGGGAACACATCATAAGATTGAAGATAAATTAACATATATATATGAAGTGCTCATGAAAATCTTAAGTTTAACTGCATTTGGAAAAATCTCAAGACTATTGTATCATCCTCCTAACTAATGACACATATTTTGTCAGTCTAAAGTGTTAAACAGAAAATCTAAAACATGAATCTTGTCCATAATTTAGAACCTTTTCAAAAACTCTTAAAGATGCCATAAAAAAAAAACCTGTTAGAATGAGTAAATAAATTAGTAAAGTTTCAGAATACAAAATCAACTTTAAATACCAGTTCATTTCTATATAATAACAACAAACTTCTGAAAAAGAAATCAAGAAAACAATCCTATTTATAATAGTACTAAAAAAGAAAAAATATGAATAAATTTAGCCAAAAATTAAAGATCTGTACACTGGAAACCATAAAACAGTTATTAAAAAAAATTGTAGAGAACAAAACTAAATAAAAATATATCCTGTGTTCAAGGATTGGAAGAAATGATACTGTTAAATGGCTCATACTACACAAGGCTATCTATAGATGCAATAAAATCCATATCAAAATTTTAATATTATTCTTTACAAAAATAGAAAAAACAATCCTAAAATTCATTTGGAACCACAAAAGACTCCAAACAACTAAGGCAATCTTGATCGAGCAGCACAAAGCTGGAGCGATCACACTTCCTGATTCCAAACTATATTACTAAGCTAGAAAATCAAAATATAGAGCTGATAGAAAAATTGACACACAAACAAATGGAACAAAATAGAGAGTTAAGAAATAAATCCACATATATATATATATATATATATAGGCAACTAATTTTCAACAAAGTTTCCAAGAATATACAGTGAAGAAAAGATAGACTCTTTAATAAATGGTGATGGAAAAACAGGATATCCACATGCAAAATAATGAAACTGCAACTTTTTCTTTCACCATACAAAAAAATTAATGTAAAACAAATTAAAGATACGACACCATAAAACTCCTAGAAGAAAACATAACGGAAAAGACCCTTGATGCTAGTCTCCACAATGATGTTTTTGGATTTGTTGCAATTCAAAGCAAAGACAAGACAAGACAAGACAAGAAAAAGTAGAACTACATCGAATGAAAAATTTTAGGATAAATTATATGTAAACCTGATAAGGGATTAATCTCCAGAATACATAAGAAATTCATGTAATGCAATAACAAAAAAGAAAACACAATGTGTATACACACACACACACACACACACTAGAATATTATTAAGACTTTGAAAACAACAAAATCTTGCTATTTTCAATAACACAGATGAACTATGAGGGCACTATGTCAAGTGAAATAAGCCAAACACAGAAAAACAAGATTACTGCATGATCTCATATCTGCAATCCAGAAAACGTCAAACTCAGCAGAGTAGAATGATGGTTAACAGGGGCTGCATATTGGTCAAAGGGTACAAACCTTCATCTATAAGAGAAAAAGTTCTGGAGAGCTAATATACAGCTAATCTATAGGTTAACAGTAATATATACTTGAAATTATTATAGTTTAAATATGTTACATGAAGAAACTTCAGAGAGTCTGTAGAAAATGGAATTAAAATGTGAGTTTATTTTGGTGCAAAAACTTTTGAAATTCATGCATTTCTTCAAAATACACATTTTCCATTAACTTTTGGAAGATCCTTCTAGACTTGAAGTTTGCTAAGAGATTCGATCTTTTCGCATTCTCACCACAGAAAGAAAGTAGCTATGTGAGGTGATAGCTATATTAATTAGCTTGATTGTGCTAATCATTTCACATTGAATATATCTATTAAAACATCCCATGTTATAAATTATATATAGAGTTTTTCCTGTGCCAATAATACCACAGTAAAACTAAAAAAGAAACACATGTATTTTTTTTAAAAAAGGGACCTTGTTATAATGTAAATAAACTTTGTTATATTAAAGAATCTAGACACAAAAAGCTGCATATTGTAGGATTTCATTTATATGAAATGTCTCGAATAGGAAATTCCAAAGAGAAAGAAAGTATATTAGTAGCCATCGGAATTTGGGAGAAAGGGGAAATGGATAACCCAAGTCCTTGGACTCATGCACTCACATGGGAGACCCGGAAGAAGCTCCTGGCTCCTGGCTTTGGATCAGCTCAGCTCTGGCCATTGTGGCCATTTTGGGAGTGAACCAGTAGAAGGAAGACCTCTTTTTCTCTGTGTCTATCTCTATCTCTCTCTGTAACTCTGTCTTTGAAAAAATAAAATATCTAAAAAGAAAAAAAAGCTGAATTACATCATAAAGGGGGGGGGGGGGGATGGTATAGACAACAAAAAGAGAGACAGAGAGAGAGATATTCCATCTACTGGTTCACTACCCAGATGGCTGCAACAGCCAGGGCTGAGCTGGACCAAAGTCAGGAGCCAGGAGCTTCATTCAGGTGTTCCAAGTGGGCAGCAGGGGCACAAACACTTGTGTCATCTTCTGTTGCCTTTTCCAAGCCATTAGCAGGAGTTGGATTGGAATTCGAGCAGCTGGAACACAAACCAGCACCCATGTGGGATGCCTACCTTGCAGGCACTATGCACTATGCTACATTCCGGTCCCTATGCTGTGAATTTTAAAAACAAAAATAAGCTATCAGCAATGACATGCAATTTAGGCAAGAAATCCTCCCCACCCCGCCTTTTTTTAGGATTTCCTGTAACTATTCTTTTCCCACCTAAACAGTGGTAACTTCAGATACAATGGCCTCAAAGCAGAAAATTCAGTTTCCCTAATCCACTTATTCTCTGACTGGAAAAGTCTAGTTGATATGTATGCCTGCAAAAGAAGGAAAGATCTCACGGTGGCAGAAGTTTTGTTCTCCCTTGTTCCCTCCCAAGGTATTTCATCACCACAGGTCTTAAATATTATCCATTAAGAAAGAAACTAAATGTAAGCAGGTAGCTCCAAGTAGAATGTAAGCGTTAAAACCACAACTACACATGTAGTAATGGGAAAACTCCTCAAGTTATCACTAAATAATTAATCCCAATGTTTACCTACTCTTGTCATTATGATTTCCCACATAGACCATTAGCCAGCATTTAGTCTTGAGCCCCTTTCAGAACACCATACATGGCAGGCAGGTTGGGCACTGCACAACCCCAGAGGAGCTCTTCACACCACTTGTGATATGAATGACAACCCCGCCTTTCAGGGCTCCAACAGAGGATGCAGAAAGTTCCACAAAACAGAGCGACATAACAAAAAGAACTAAAAACACATTCCTTAACAGAAGAAAAGGCTGTATGCTTATTTTTCTAGGCATTTGTCGTGAACACACAAACCAGTCTTTCCAGTTGACATACCTCATCTTTCAGCTGAATTCTACTAGTTTCGTGATTCTGATAGTCCGTTCTGCATTTTAAAAGTTTACGATCAGCAGCAGAAATTCTCTTCTCATATTCTGTGTTATTCCCAACCTCATTTTCCAAAAACTTGATCTTTTCCTTAACCAAATTTTCTTTTTCTCTTGTTTCCTGCTTTATCCTTGCTAATTCCTGAGATTAAAAGAAATCTGTTTACTTAAATATATGCTTAATATGACAAAACTAAAAGGAATTTACTGCTTATTTTTCTATTATTACAGTCAATATTTATTTTACTGTTAACATTTTAAAAAGACTTTCTGTATGAATAAAACCAAAAATACTTATATTTTACATAACAATATCTATAAACTCAGATTGCTATTTTCTTTAATCAATCTAGAACTTTAAAGAGATGGGGGAAAAAATCAAGTTTTATACATGAAGGATAACACCTTTAAAAATGTAACAGTGCTAAATATTTTTCTCGCAGAAAGTTGGTTTTCAATGAAATTTTCCAAATTTCACAGAGCAGTTTTTTTCATCTGTTGAAAAGGACATTTTAATTATTGGTTTCAATAAGAATGTCTTCTCACAGTCCTTTTGCTGGACTTAGAGATACAACAATAAAATACCCAACGAATTACAACTAAAATGTAGTCAAAATACAATGGGAGCAAAGAAGTGATGAATCCTCTGTAAGAGGAATGAGTCATTAGAAGATACTGTCCAAGAGGCACCTTTTGAGTCAGGCCTACAAGGTGAATAAAGATACATAAATACGCTAATGTGTTAAGTCTAGGGTAGATGGCAGGTTTGGGAAGGGATAATATGGGAAGGGACTATATTAAGAAAGAGTAGGGTACACATGAAAGGATTGAGTCTCGAAAAAGGATTGGGGAATAAACTGTGAAGATGTTCAAATACCATGTTAAAGATAATCAACTTTTAAAGCAATGTGAAACGAAAATTTGAAAGCTGGGGGAAAAAGTTGAGATGTTTTTACAAGCAATGCTAGTAGCTAGGCTGAATGAATTAGAAGGAAAAATTACATTAAATGTATTTCTTTCTATTTTTTTTTCTAAATAGAAACATTTTTCCTAAATGGGATCCTACAAAACAATTGATTCCTGGAGACTGGGAGAGGGGATATATATTTTGAAATAAGTAAGTTTTAGAAATGCTGCATGTAATGTTATACATATCACCATACTAAATACATACATATCTGAAATGTAAAATATTTTAAGATATTTTGTTTATTCAATCCAATATTCTCGTATGTTCTCCATAAAAATTAACATAGTTTTAGTTTTAGTGTTCTATTTATTTACTGTGTTCATTCAACTGAGACATGTCAAAACTTCCTAAGTTTAAAATATTCTAAATGATCATTCTAAAGTTTCCTGCATTATACTGATTTTTCTATCACTTAGATGCTTTAAAAGCACTTTAACATTCATATTTCTTAATAGTGCTAGTCATAGTTTTCCATTTAGGTTACACTTGTAAATAATATATCAAAATCTGTATATTAGAATAAAAGTATGATAGAAACTATTTTTCCTTTTTTTTTTCTTTTTTTTTTTTTTTTTTTTTTTGGACAGGCAAAGTTAGACAGTGAGAGAGAGAGAGAGACAGAGAGAAAGGTCTTCCTTTTTCCATTGGTTCACCCCCTAAATGGCTGCCAAGGCCAGCACGCTGCGCCTATCCGAAGCCAGGAGCCAGGTGCTTCTCCTGGTCTCCCATGCGGGTGCAGGGCCCAAGCACTTGGGCCATCCTCCACTGCTCTCCTGGGCCACAGCAGAGAGCTGGCCTGGAAGAGGAGCAACCAGGACAGATCAGCACCCACAGGGACTAGATCCAGGTGCAGCGCACAGAGATTAGCAGTGAGCGCGCGCAGCTATTTTTCTTTCTAATATCGCTTCTTTTAGGAGCTCAGCTTCAGGATTATATGGTCAGGCTCCTTCCAAGAAGTCACTGAGAAAGCAGGAATTGTTTTGGAGTATGAGGAGCAAAGGCATACAAATTCAATTGCAGGGGATCAAAATATGCCACTGCAAAATACTCTGGTTTGGCACACGGATCAGTTTGAGTTAAAGGCACTTGGATACCAGCAGGTGCAAGAAGGCTACTCTGACCTTCCTCTTCTTCCCCAAAAGCAGGAAGTAAAATTCCTAACTGAAAGAAAGACAGACATTCTTATCACCACAGAGAGTCAAGGCCAAGAGAAATCTGTATGCATGAATTTTGTTAGACCAACCCTTTCTTAAAGATTTATTTACTTATTTATTTATTCATTTATTTGAAAGACAAGAGTTACACAGGAGGAGGAGAAACAGAGGGAAAGAAAGAAAATCATCCTCTGGTTCACTCCCCAAATGGCCACAATGACCAGTGCTACATCAAGCAGAAAGCAGGAGCCGAGAACTCTTTCTGGATTTTCCAAGTGGGTGGCAAGGGCCCAATTACTTGGGATATCTTCTGCTGCTTTCCAGATATATTAGCAGGGAGCTGGGTAGGAAGTGAGCAGCCAGGGCTCACACCAGTGCTCTTTTGGGATGCTGGCATCGCAGGCTGCAGCTGAGCCTGCTGTACCACAATGCCCACCCCTAAACCAACCCTTACCTTCCTCATTCCTTCTCCTCAATCACCACTCTTTGTTCCACCTTAAATATAAGCACTTAGACCTTGCAACTTCTTTTGAGTTTTTGTTTTTCTTGTGAAAGCTCCCATGTACATGTAAATAAATTTGTATATTTGGATATTTTTCTCCTGCTAATCCTTCTGTCAGAAACCCTCAGAGTATAGAGAAGAACTTCACCTCCCCTGTTCTAGTAGTGTGAACCCCCTCTCACTGATCTATAAGAACCCATTTACTAACACCATAGGAATGGGGGCTGGAGAACTATTTGTTCTGTTTTGATTGTTCTCAGAAAGCAGTTGTTCAACATTGAGAAGCATCCCTCCACCCAACAGAACCACCTCTGACAGTCAGGGGATGTTAACCTTTAAATAAGGAGCCCTGTGAATGAGAAAAGGGAGCTACAAGTTGTGTATTCCACCAAGTCCACAAGCCTAGTCAATTTAGACATGGGGTTGTATGAGAACTCTGATCTTGAATCTATACTCTCTGGTCTGACGCATTTGAATTCCATAGCAGAAACAGGCAGAACTTGATGTTTGAAAGCAGTAAGAAATTAAGAAATAGAAATCACTACCAGCACTAAGAATTCAGAGGACCTCATAGTTAAGATTGATTCTCCTTGGGGCCCGAGTTGTGGTGTAGCAAGTTAAGCAGCAACCTGAGACACCTGCATTGCAATCTGAGCACCAGTCTGAGTCCTGGCTGTTCTGCTTGCAATCCAGCTCCCTGCTAATGCACCTGAGAAAGCACCAGATAACGGCCCAAGTACTTGGGCCCTGCCACCCACATGGGAAACCTGGATGCAGTTCCATGCTCCTAGCTTCAGCCTGACCCAGCCCTGGCTGCCTGGGGAGTGAGCCAGCAGATGGATGATCCTCTCTCTCTCTACCTTCCAAATAAATAAATCAATCCTTAAAAAAAAAAAAAAAAAAAAAAAAAAAAAAAAGATCAACTCTCCCTTGTCCTTCCTGATAAGATGGCCCATTTTGTCGACAAAATGTTCATTACTTACAGAAATTTAAAATATGAGAATCACAAGAAATCACATACAGATATCAGAATTTCAAGCTCAGAGTGGCCTGAGCTACTTGACAAATGTCTTTCCATGGAGTAGACTCAAAAAGAAACTTAACACACCTCAACCAACTTTCTTTCCTCTTCAATTTCTTCTTTCTAACTCATCCTAATATTCTTTACTCACCATTATTTCTTTCCTAAATGGTTTCCAAAAACATGTTCCTAAATTACCTCTTGAGTAACAAGAGCTAATGTTAGCTCTGTAATATCAGCCCACTGTTCCCACCCCATCCTGAGCTTTTATGTCATTATCGGGGTCCCAGCTTTAAAAGTGAAATTTTACTGTAGTCCGGATTTCTTGTCTGACTCTTCCTCTTTGTGTCTGGTTATCTAAAAAGGTTCATTTCTCTACACCAGTAACTCACTGCCAGTTATGATATATGTTAAATCCAAGTCACCTTGGGTACCCATGTGTAACTCTGGGCATCAGTTTTACTGCAATAAACATTAGCTGTTGACTTTCTCTTGTTCCACAATTCAGAGACGGCAGAATCTAGTCTTTGAGGATTATTATACCATAAGCAAATATTTTCATAAAAATCACATTTCTAAATGTATATATAGTCTGCTTTAAGAAACATTTACCAAAATCATGCTACAAAAGTGACTTTCAAATAATAATATGACTTACACACTTGAAATGGGTTAAAATACAAAAGAAACAAATAGAGCTGAACATTACAAAGACCAAACAACTACTTTACCAAGGCACAGTTATCTATGTCTCCATCCCTCTTTTGCATCTGTTCTATTGTATTCTCCCACTGTTGGATGAGTTCTTGTCTTTCATTATGAATCTTATTAAAATCTTGGGCTGCTTTATCCAATTCTAACTGTCAAACAGAGGGCAAACAACATTTTCTGTGAATTTAAGTGCCTTTTCAAACATCATCTTAAAAATTAAGAAATAAAAATCCTTATTAAACCAACCTGTGCACTTAGAGTCTCCGTAAGCTCATTGTCAAGTACCTTTCTTCTCTGGTTACATTCCAAAGTTAATCTTTCTAATTGTAGAGTCAGTGCCTATGATATAATTACATGCAAAAATATTTATATTTACCACGCTATTAATTTAAAAGCTATTAACACATCTAATATTAACTATTTTTACATTTTTCATTTGATACCTAAACAACTATAAAACAATATATTTTTCATTATCTTTTAACTTCAAAGGGCTAATCTAATATACTTGCATATAACTTAGTGACATGCTATTACTTCCAAAATGACTTTTATTACTTTTTACAGCAACTCAGAAAAAAGATTAAATTATTACTTAAAATTACTTCAATGCTTCTAGAGTTACATTCACTAGAAAATACCATTTTTATAATTATAACTCTGTAGTATTACTTTTATTTTTTTTTAATTTTTTTTTTTTTTTGACAGGCAGAGTGGACAGTGAGAGAGAGAGAGACAGAGAGAAAGGTATTCCTTTGCCATTGGTTCACCCTCCAATGGTTGCCGCGGCCGGCATGCTGCAGCCGGTGCACTGCGCCGATCCGATGGCAGGAGCCAGGTACTTATCCTGGTCTCCCATGGGGTGCAGGGCCCAAGTACTTGGGCCATCCTCCACTGCACTCCTTGGCCACAGCAGAGAGCTGGCCTGGAAGAGGGGCAACCGGGACAGAATCCGGCGTCCCGACCGGGACTAGAAACCGGTGTGCCGGCGCCACAAGGTGGAGGATTAGCCTACTGAGCCGCGATGCCGGCTTGCAGTATTTCTTGTAATTTTTAAGTGATGATTATAAAATAGCAATCAATAATACTATTCTCAAATCAGTAAAAACTACATATAACATTCAAACTATATAGACAAAATAACTAACATAGCAAATAAGTAATTTTAATATTAAACTTTCCCTCCTGAAATGCTTTCAAAAATCCTTCTAAATCAGGAGGTTCTTAACAAGAGATGCATGGATCACTAAAAAGGCTTTGGAGGATCTGTAAAACTGTTAGCAAAATGTTGTGGGTATCTGAGTATATTTTCCTAAAAAGAAGATACTTGGCTTTATTAGATTTTCAAAGGAGTCCCAGATCCCAAAAGTTTAAGAATTACTGCTTTAAAAAACCACTAATTATATTTTTAGATAAAATTGTTGATATACCGCAGATTCACAGAGACTTTAACAAATAACTTATAATTTCTCACCCTAATTTTATTATCATCTTGTTTTGCATATTTCTGAAGAGTGAGAGCATCACTATCTTTATGAGCTGACTCTTCTAACCAGGCCTCCAAAGCTTGCTGGTCCCAGTTCATCTGACATTTCAAACCATCCAATTTTTGAGTCGCTTTAAATATGCCATTCTAATTTCCAAAGAATGAGAGAGAAAGAAAGATTACAAAACATTACTTACTATATAAAGAAAATAAAACACATTACACACTACAAAACATTAAGAAGTTCTATTCCTGTCTTCCATATGTTTATAATATATTTTACTGCACAACTATTACAATTGAATTTATAAAAGAAAAGAGAGATGATTGTACTAGTTGAGAATAGTAGTTGAGCCAAAGGCCACTTAAAAAGGCTGGAGGCTTACGTTAGCTCCCTCCTAGCAACCCCAGTCATTGTACCAAAGCCATCGCATATCACTAGACAGTGTTAGTTAAAAAATCGTGCTTGACAAGATCCCTTCAGAAGCATTTCGAAATGAACTAAAAATCGTAAAGGAGAGAAAACTATTTCTTTAGTTATTTAACAAATCCAGATTTATAAAAGAAAACAGAACAATGTATAAATAAAAGAAAATAACATTACATTTATAAATATTATAAAACTACAATAAATGTTTATGTAACTGAACATATGTATGTATATTTCCACTTATATGTATGTGTGCGTGTGTGCGTGTGTGCGTGTGTATGTATAAAGACAAGAATCAGAACGCAGAAAGAGCTCTCAAATCAAGTATCTGAAACTAAAGAAAACTGAGGACCAGCATTCTAGCACAGCAGATTAAGCTGCCACCTGTAATCACAGCATCCCATAGGTGCCAGTTTGAATCCTGACTACTCCACTACTGAACAGCTCCCTGATAATGTGCCTGGGCAAACAGCAGATCATGATTCAAAAGACTGGGCCACTGCCACACATATTTGGGAGACCCAGATGGAGTTCCAGGCTTCTGGCTTTGGCCTGACTGAGCTCTGGGCCTGCCATTGCAGTCATTTGCGGAGTGAACCAGCAGATAGAAGCAAGCTCGCTCGCTCTCTCTCTCCCTATCTCTCTAACTTTGCCTTTCAAATAAATAAATCTTTTAAAAAACTAAAGAAAAGAGAAAAATAGGTTAAAGCAGTTTAATATTAGAGTCACAAAGCTGACAAATTAACATGAAAGGGAAATTTTCAAATGAAATTCAAAAATAAAAGTGATTTGTAAACTGTGGCTGTAACATAGGTAGCACTTACAAATTATCCTAGTATTTTGTAACAGGTGTCCAACATGGATACTTTGCACTTATTAAGTCTCAGTAAGTAACTGCTGAATAAATATGGGGCAGGGATGTGGAGGAATGCAATATTCTCATTGTTCTGTTAAAATCACAACTCCATGTGCCTTTCATTGTTCAAAAAACACAATGTAGGTAAAAGCCAGGAAATTAATGAATGCCTTTCCTATACTGAAAAAAAATCAATGCTTGTTTGGTAACGGACAATAAAGAAGAAGAACAAAATCTGAAATCACATTGCAACACATACTTCCTTATCATTCTTCTTTTCCTGTATTGAAGCCATCTCATTTTCCAGTCGTTGGATTTCATCCTTCACTCGTTCCAATTCTCTTTGAGCAATGGCTTTAAAATGTTCTTCACTTTCAATCTCATGCTCCCTTGCTTTGTAAAGAGACTACAGAAGAACATACAAAACAGAAAGACTTATAAATTTTTAATATTATAAAACATTTATAATAATACATTAGATAAAAAATACAAAGTTCCCACAAAACACTTAGATTAAGTTCTATTACTTGCACCACTCTGACATCTATAGCAAATTAGACTGTGATTACATGGTAATTGATGTTGCCCCCTAGCTTTAAGAAAGTTAGTCAATGGACTGTGAGTCAGCAGTTTTCAGATATTATGTTTCTCTATGAAAATGAAAGAAAACTGAAGTTTTTATGGTGAGCCTTACAAGATATAACTCATTGGTTATCTACAAGTAAGAAATATCGATGAAAAAAATTATTTGAAAATGAGATGTTTCTATGACTGAATCACACATTCTCATAAAGAGACAATTTTAAAATAATTAAAATATTTTAGTATATAACATGCCTTAAGTTTCATTTAATAAAAGGGTATCTGTTGATGATTGATCTTGTAGTGCTTCAAAGTTAATACTCTCAGTATTAATTTTACAGAATTAAAGCTGATAATGTGGTAAGAGATTTATTGCCTTTTGTCTATATTAAACTATTGAAGTTTGATAGTAATCAGACATACCTACAAAGAGACAAATACTCTCTCAAACCACAACTGAGGAGTTTAATACCTTGAGGGAAAATGCTGTTCAGATTTACAACTACTCATTCACATCAGGATTCAGAAATCCTGAATATTGTTTTTTAATGTTCATTAAATTTATAAGTTTCTAGCGACATGTATAATCCATGAAATAGTTACTTATCAATATTACAAACTATTTCTGAAAGGTTTTGTTCATTCTTAAGATTTACATACTTTTTCTCAGAAATGTAGATTTTTAAAAAAAAAAAAAACATAGTTTGAGACAGAAGCTAGTAAACTTGTCAGGGCTGATTTGCTAAGCTGTTTGGTTTGTTAGGCACCCTCAGGGAATGACTTCCTATCCTTGAAAAAATTGTTCATAAAACAGAGCTTCTTAATCACTTCAACTTAATTTTATTGTAATTGTGCTAATATTTTAAAATGCAACACACCTTCTCAGATGATTTTTATTATTTTATTTTTAATTTTACTTAAGGTAAACAAATTTCATGTATTTCATAAATACAGAATATAGTGTCTCCTAAACACAAGGAGAGTTCAAAAGTTTGAAGAAAAATTGACTTTATAGTAGATAAGTTTAGTTTGTTGCAAAAAAATTTTGAGATCCATGCATAATTTTTTCATAATAGCCATTTTCCATGAACTTTTGAAGGACCCTCACTTTAGTTTTTGTCATTACAAATTTCAATCCTTGAAGTATGCTAAAATACTATGATGTCCAAGGGGTTCCTGAAGTATACAGACTATTAGTCTCCACTCAAAATGGCACTATTGGGTTGTGTTGAAAATTTAAAGACACAGAAACAAAATATATTAGCTGTGTTTCTGTTATTAGCCATTATTTTTCACTGCCATCACTATATCCTTCTCATATAAACTGCTGCCTAATATTGTATTAGATTGTTTTTAAATGATGATTTGTTTCATGTGAACTAGTTTTGTTTATAATTAGTAGCAGTGGTTAGTTTCTCAAACTCTTTCCTATCTATTTTCAGGTTCAAGGTTATGCTCACAATAATTTAATCACACTAACATTTCTCATTGTAGCTATAAAACAAAATCACAGATAGAAATTCACTTTGAAATATGCCATAACTACACATGACATAGTCAACATATATTTCAATATTACTGTACCTGTGTAAATGAGAACTCCTGCTTAACATTTTTGAAGTGAGAAGACATAGCATTAATTCGATCTTCATAGTCACGTAGCTGATCTTGCAAGTTTGATCTTTCATTCTGAAGCTTTGACAACTGTAAATAATAAATGATTGTCACTTCTGTGGCCACGAGTGGACACTTCTGGGAGAGAATATCTCATATTTTTATTTTATACTCTTGTATTCTAGTTGAGTTACTTATAAGAGTTGTTTTTTTAATGTCAGAGTTTATCCAGGAGAAGCAATTAGTCTTCATTTTTCTTCTTTTTACTACTCTGTTCAAAGTAGCTAATATTCATATAATAATGTACATAAAATCCTATGAGACAAACATCGTGGAAACAATACCAAAAACTAACATTTGAATGAACTTTAGCCTACATATGTCTTTACAGCCTTAAAACAACCCAGGGAGGTAATCATTTTACTTATCACATTTTATAGAAGAAACAGGATTAGGGCTAGTAAGTAGGAATTGAACCCAGCGTTAGATACTTAATATTATTGCCACCCCTCAGTCCTCAGGGCTGGTTCTCTTTTATTAGTAATGTTGCCTGTCTTTGGGAAAAGAAAAATGCAGCCTCCTAAATTACACCTGAATAAATAGGTCAAAATATTTGGAAAAGCATTTCCAATTCTTTTTAAAAGATAGGGCCAGGGGATTTTCATTTAGAAAACTTAACGTTCTATTTTTAAAGTTGCTTAAGAAACCTCTACTCTTGGACCTTTCTTTACACAACACATCACCAAAGGATGTAACTTTAAACTGGCTGCTAAATGGTTTTAAAAGTTTGCTGCGTAGTTGGACTTTTTTTTTTAAACAACTGTTTTGAATTGTAGTAGGTCTATGTGTGCTCTTACAACGTAAAATACCTTGTCATTCTGTGAGGATAGAACCTTTCACATTCTTGAAAACATCTAATGTCACTTTTAGCTTCACTCCTCATAGGCAGAAACTCACAAAGAAGTACCAAGCAGAACGTGTTTCGTTAATAGGCAATGCCAATAACTGTTGCCATGCAAAGCCCAGGCAATTTCTGGGAAGGAAAACAATACACAAGAGCCAGTCTTTCTCCTCCTGCCCAGGAGGCGAGAATGGAGGAAACAGAGTGTGCGCGGGAAGACAATCACCATTCGGGCTTTGTAAACCTGAACACCAATTACTGTTCCACTAAAAATGCTTCAATGCTTAACAATTACCGAAAAGGGCAGGCCGGGTGAGAGAGGAAGGAAACGGTACCGGGGGCGCATTAGACAGGGAAGGGTCCCGATGAGGAAAGAAAAGGAGGGAAATAAAAGGACTGAGGTAACGCTGCCAACCAGAAAACGTCCCCCAACAAACTCTCCCGCGTTCGCGCCTACTTCTGAGCCTCACCTCATCTTCCAGTAGCTTGTTCTCCTCGTTCGCCACCGGGATGGCGAACCCGTCCTCCCAAGGCAGCTCCGCCAGGAACTCACTGCTCATGGCAGACGCATAGGAAACGCTCGACGGGGTGCAGAAGAAATATTGGCCTTGCCCTGCACCGACGGAACCGCACTTGATACCCCCGCGCCAGCCGCACAGCTCCGCTGCTGGGACCACCACAGCCCTTAGCAACCGTCCCGCGTCCTTAGTTACCAAACAGGAAGCGCTCAGGCGGGGAGGCGAGACTTCCGGTCGGGAACTCTACCTCAGGTTCCAAGAAACTTTCTCTTTTTGGTTCTCGGGAGCGGCCAGGAGGTGGCAAAGTTCTCTGTCAAAAGGCCACCCCTCCTCCCAGCGTTCCCTGTGGGTGTAAAATCCGGCCGAAGGGTTCCCACAGCTTGCTTTGGAGGCACCCGCGCCACACAGCAGTCCTGTGTCCTGGTGACGATGAGAGCTAATGAAGCCAGGTTTTCTTTATCAGCAGTATTTGCTGGGATTCCAGTCACTACTGGAATTCAAAGTAGGCAGATGCGGACGTGGTTAGAAACAATTCACTCCCTACAATCCTTGTTGGGTGTTCTGATCTTGGTCTGTTTAATTCTACTAGTCTCAGTGCTCTTTTGACCCCAAAGGATGGACTGCGGATTGGTGACCTGCACGCCGCTTTGTGCCTTGGTTGGTCTTCACGTTTTCACTTGTTAACATTTAGAACTATGGAATTTCTTAAAAATCTGTATTTTCCCCTCTCGAAAAAAGTTAGCCAGCTAAGAAGGTTGCTTTGGTGAACCATATCCCACGGCCTATCGGATGCCTGCAATCAAATGCCCCCTCGCTTTCAAAGCCAGCGATCAGCTAATTTCTCCACTCACGTTAAGACCTGGATGGAGTCCCAGGCTCTGGGCTTCAGCCGGACCCAGCCCTGAACTTTGCGGCCGTCTGGAGAGTGAGCCGGCAGATAGAAGATCTCTTTCTCTGTCTCTCTCTGTGTGTATGTCTGCCTTTCAAATAAATCAATCTTTAAAAAAAAGACAAAGGCCCCAATATCAAAAGGCTATTTATTAAACCTTATTTACTTATTTACTTTTATTTTCTGCTAGAGAGGCACCCCCTTTAGACTGACAAGCATTTCACCAATTAACTATTTTGAACTATCTGCTGGGGCATTTAAGTGTCTGTTGTATACCATCTCAGAACCGGAAAGAAAAAAATATCTTATCTTTGCATTTTCTAGATAAGAAATCTGAGGCTCTCTGAGGTGAAGTGATGGAGAGTATATGTATGTTTATAAATTTAACATATCCAAAACGTAACAATTGGTAACTTTTTTGCCATATTGAATTTTATTTTACCAAGACTCACTAAAGTTTTATTATAAAAATTTCTAATGTATATAAGAATAGCGATCTCAATTTAACTTGATATTTTTGCCATATTGACTTCATCTGTATGTTTTGCTGAAGTACTTTAAATCACAGAAATCATGACATTGCATCCCTAAAATATTCCAGCAAGCAATGCTAGAATGGTTAATATATTCTAACATAAGAACAGTATCCTTATCACACCTAACAAAATAATAATTCTTCAATATCATCTAATAACCATTTTGTGTTCGTATTTCTTCAATTGTCCTGAAAGTGTCTTTTTCTGGTTGACATGTTAGTATACTTTTGAAACTCTCCAATGGTAGCTTTGTGTCATTGTACCTATATTGTTTTCCATAAATTTAGAAGTGGATTTAGAAGTAGTGTCTTCAAAGACTAGAATTGGCAAGGCACTTTAATCTCTATTTCTACAATGCTTGAATCCCTGTGGAGCTAGGGAGGAAGACATGTTGGAAAAGAAATTTTGTCCTTTATGGAATAATGGGATTTTTTAGCTAAAATACCTTACAGAAGATAATCACTTTTGTATAACAGTTTTGTATTTCCTACTGATGAAAATGTTAATATCTAGCTTATGTTCAGATGACACAGAGTTCCTCATACTTGAGAACTGTGGCAATGCTACTTTTTAAAATTATTAGTGGGGCAGGCATTTGGCACAGCAGTTAAGACACTGCTGGCAATGCCTGCATACCATATCAGAGTGTTTGGTTAGAGTCCAGTCTGTTTCCTGTTCTCTTCTCTGCTAATGCACACACTGGGAGGCATATGGTAATGACCAAATACTGGGGTCTCTGCCACACACGGGAGACTCAAAATGAGTTCCTGGCTCTTGGCTGCTGCCTGGCACAGCAGGCATTTTGGGAGTGAGTTAGAAGAGGAAAGATCTTCCTCTTTATATATATCTTGCTGTCTGTCTCTCTCTATCCCTTCCAAATAAAATGAAAATTAATTAATTAGTTTTTAAAATAAATTCATTGGTGTTATTACTGCCTGTGTGTCTTAAGCATTTGCTTACTTATTTCTCATCACAGTTCCTAAAGTGAGTACTGAGGCAGCTGCCTTGGCCTGTGCCAGCTGGTTGAAATGGGCTTCTCCATGGCAGCTGCAGCTACCAAATGCTTAACTGCAGCTGTCTTCAGTAGGTCCTCCCCTCCCACCACAGGCATAAGTCCAGCAGCTGCAGCCCTGCAGGGAGTCCTATAGCTTGTGTCTCAAGGATTCTATTTCCTGAATTTAAGGATGACAATTATACAATATTTAATTCTCAACAAAATATCCACACATCTTCCAAATTCTACAGTTCTGCCTGAAAATAATATCTCTGCTTCACCTCATCACCACAGCATCCTATATTACTCTCTTTAAAATTCTACAAGTTCTAGATCACAACCCTGTTTTTCATTCAGACCTAAATTTGAGAACAAGCCAGTTTTACAAGCTTTGTTGCTCAACATGAAATACTCAAGCCCAAAATGCTAAATTAGATGTTATCATTTTACTGTCTTATTCCCCAGTCATTAACCTCACCCAGGCTAAACCACAAAGATTTTTTTCCTTTGCAAAAATGTTATCTTTGTTTTTTAAAAATAGAAAAATGCATATACAAATCAAGCAAAAGATATTATTTACCTGTATGCCAGTTCTATTCCCAAGAGATTACCACTGTTTGGTGTTTACCCGTATTTTTTAAATGAAGATATAAAAATATACATATAAGAGTTTTTATCCTACAGAAATAAACTATTAGAATTATTCTTCAGAAAATTCATTTATTTCTCTTAACAATAGTGTCCGTATTTCCAAGTCAGTTCATTTAGATCTACATTGGTCTTTTAATGGAAGCTTAAAATTCAGTATTATCAATCAATTATAACTTTTTAAACAATACTACAATGAATAATACTGCATTTCATCAATGCTAGGGTATACTTATTTTCACATTTTAATATTTCTGAAATTGGGATGTACTTTTAAATCAATTGTATCTTAAATTCAGTGAAATAAGGTATAATCTCACATACCTAATATTCTTAGAGGTAAAATTAATGGAAAACAGGTATAGAGAACTTCAAAAACTCATGGAAGAGTGGAGTTAAAAGATAAATTTTTATAAGCTCTTTCATAATACATGTTTTCTATGAACTCTTGGAAAACCCCTCATGTAAGCCATTTTATTTTGATAAGTAACACTAATGTACCCTCCAAAAAGACTTTACATACTCACCAACAACATGAGAGTGTCCTTGAGCGCCCTGGATATTATGAGGTATTAAACACTGCACAATCTAAAGAGCAAAATGCAGTGTCTCATTGTTAATTGACATTTCCATAATGACAAAACAGAGCATCACATTTCTTCTAAGAATTTCTTTATTTTGTCCTTAACCCATTCCTCCCTATTCAGTTGTCTTGCTGAACCATAGTAGGGCTTTCTATTGTACAGTGTTTGTGTATAAATGCTATTTTTCTACCAGTATGTTTTGGAGTCTTATTTTAACTTTGTTTTTAGTATATTTTGCTGCATATACCTCAGAAACTATTCTTGGTGCCATAATCAAGTTTGTTATTCAAGAGCACACTTTGATCATCGACTTAGCAGATCTAGCAGCAGCATTCAACACAGCTGTTCCTTCCCTGTTAAAGCATTTTCTTCTCTTGACTTGTGTTATTCTTTCTCTGTCATAAGAGAAATCTTTTCTCAATTGCTTTTGCTGCTTTTTCTTTGCCCTGTTTTGCCACATAGTATTGGTATTTCCCAGGACTCAAAGGAAATCGCTCTACTCTACTCTTCTCATCTTACACTTGCTTTCTAGGTGATCATGTCCATTTTCGTGGTTTTAAACACTATGACTGGTATATTAATATACTAGGACCGTCATTACAAAATACCACAAACTGGATGGCTTAAACGACAGAAAATGTTTTTTCTCACCTTTCTGGAGGCTCAAAGTTCAAGATCAAAGTGCCAGCAGGGATAGTTTCTGGTGAGGCCTCTATCCTTGTCTTGCAGATGGCCACTTTCTCACTGTGTCCTCTGATGGTCTCTTTTCTGTGCAGTCCTGGTGTCTCTTCCTCTTTTTGTACAGACACATTACTATTGGATTAGAGCCTACCCTTCTCATTTCATTTAACCTTAATTACCTCCTTAAAGGCCCTATTTCTAAATAGTTATACTGGCAATTAGGGCTACAACATACGAATCTGGGAGAGTGCAGGGATTCACAATTCCACCCCAAACAGCTTATTTTATTAATGGCTTCCATTAACGTTTCTCTAACCCAGATCTCTCGTCTGCCTTCAAATATATGTCTAACTCTTTACTTGAGAGATCCATTAATATGTTTCATACGTATCTTAAACCTGGTACACATGTCTAAGACAGAATTCTTGATTTCACTCTACAAATAATTCAAACCTACTTCTATTTCAGTCTCTATACTACAGCAAATACATGGCCATCTATCCAACTGTATAAAATCAAATCCTGACTGTCATCTGTGATTCCTTCCTCTTTTTCACCTCCCATCTCCAGTACATCACTGTTACATTTCAATTTCACCCCATGCCCCAAAGCAATACTGATTCTACTTCTTTCCACTTCCACCACCACCACGCTAATTCAGGGTTTCATCATCTCTTGCTGCTCTTCCAAAATCTCCTTCTCACCCAGCTGCCCACTTCCACTCTGCTTGGAAAGTCTACCATCTCCTCAGCAGTTAAGGATATCTTTTCTTCCTGACATCTAATTCTAAAATGTTTGTAACATAAAGAAAGGCTGAAATATTGTTCTCATAAGCACCAATGGCCCTACATACCGGTGGTACCGAGACCCTATCATT